GAGACAAGATTATTTCTATTCCAAAATTTGGTACCAAACCAGACTATACAAATGTGAAGACAGAATAAAGATATTTACAGGTGTGAGATTCAGAAAGTTTTCTTCCATGCCACCTTTCTTGGGAAGTTTCAAGGGGATAATCTAAGAAAGAGAGAGACACAGGCAAGAGAAAATAGTGGGTTCAACCGGAAAAGCACTGTGGAGCTATCCTGAGATGAGAGCTGTGCAGCAAGTCTAGAGAACCACCAGTCCCAATGCTTGGGTGGGGGGATGGGGAGGTAAGAGAGGTTGCCAGGATAGAAAAGGGCTCTTGGAAAAATGGAAAGTATGGTGAAGAGCTAAGAAAAGATTAAGAATAATGATTAAAATTAACTTTTTCCCCCCAAGAATGGGGGGAGGGGTGCTGTTAGAAACAGGAAAAATAGAAGCTGCATAAGAAATTTGTGGTCCAAATAGGAATCAAAGTAAAATGTATTATGAATTTAAGCATTTGATGAAGTGTTATAGCTTTTTTGAAGTCCCTTTGGATTGGCCTGGGAATATTGTTATGGGCCCATATAAAAGGAAATTTAGCATACTACCCAGCCTGTGTTTGAACAATATATTGTTGTGATAATGTGGATGCTGTTGTATAGGCCTTGAGCTTTAGAATCAGGCTATGGAGAGAGCATGGAGGATTTGGTTGTGGTTGCAGGAGACAATGTTAATTTTCTTAAAATTAATAACCTTAATAGTAAAAATTTAAAACTGTAGCTAGCAGCAGGTGGGGGGAAGTTTGAGAGAATTAGGGACACTGTTAGCCTCATTTTACAAAGTGAGGAGTTAGGATTCTATCCAAAACTGAGAGATCTCCTTCCAAGACCCAATTTTAAAAAAAGAAAAAGAAAAACTGAGAGAAAATATGAAAGATTTATGTAAAAGCAATACAAGTATAATTACCAAACAGTGGGGAGGAAGATGATGGAAGGAAGTGGAATAATATAAATGAGCCTCTCATCTTTCTTACTTTTAAGTCAGTAGGCATTGTCTTATGGTTAATAAATTTAAAAATTATGAAAGTAAATGCAGAACTAATTTTTTTAAAGTCTAGGCATGGAGGTGAAGAGAGACTTGCATTTCATCATAAGTTATTCAGCTTCTATTTGACTTGTTACCCATGTGCCTGTATTACTTTGATTTTAAAAACAGAAAGTTTAGGGAACAGGAAATAACCCAGGTTGGCAGAAAGCTATGTGTAAGGGAATTTGGGGAGATGATACCAGAAAGGACAATTGAGGGCCTCAGATGCCAAGGTGAAGCAGTGCATTTAATTTGGGAAAACTTGGACTAGTGTTGAGCTGCCTGGTCCTTTGACTGGAGATGTGTACTTTCAGAAAATGCATTTATCGAGATGAATTGGAGTGGACACAGGCAGAAAGGGCTATTATGAGTAAACAAGCTAATTTCTACACAAAAAGTAAGGAAGGCCTTGTACCTGGATGATACCATTAGAAATAGAAAAAGAAAGAATGAAAGGTATTCCCAGTCCCATGTTTGATACATAGTAGGTGTTTCAGTATATGTTTATTGAATGAAGGGATCAAAGGGAGACTACTTTTTTTTTTTTTTTTGTCCTTTTTGAGACTGGCCGCACCGCGCTCAGCCAGTGAGCGCTGTGAGCTCACAGGTCATCCCTATATAGTATCCGAACCCGCGGTGGGAGCGCTGCTGCGCTCCCAGCACCACACTCTCCCGAGTGCGCCACGGGCTCGGCCCGAGAGTGCTACATTTTTTAGTAACCTATTTGACATGGGAGGAAAGGAAGGGCAGTCAACAAAGATGAGAATAGTAATCACTGTTTATTTTGAGATCCATGGCCTGATTATAGCTCACACTGTGTAAGAGTAAGGCTTGATCCTATATGCCTCCTACAAAGTGCGAAATGTTTTTAATTCAGTGATTGTTCTTCCCTGGCTGTGTTGCGTCTTTGTTTGTGACAGACAATTGTAGTAGGTATTCACTATAAAATATAAGGTGAAGAAATATTATAACCTGATGTAAATCACATCCCACTTAACCTAGAGAGAAAAATGGTAAAACATACAGAACATTACAGAGCATAGTTCTTCATGGCCTCATAATTTAAAGGCATAAATGGCTGCTAGATTCCAGTTAGACTCTTGGACAGTTTTTTTCTATAGGAGGCTAACTGGAACATGGTAGAATCCAACCCATGAACTTGGCCTCATGAGTTCAAGTTTGTAATCCATTAGTCTTCAAAGTGCAATGTGACAACACTTTGGGGTATAGAAAAGAAAGAGGAGAATTTCTTTATAAACCAATAAGCATATAAATATTAGATATGTGCTAATTTTTTTTGTTGTTTTTTTACTGCTAAGGATATGCTACCAAAAAGTTCAAAGACCATTGCTCTAATCAGCTGAGCTAACTGACCTTAGAGATATAGACCAATTACAAAGACCAGTAGCATAAGTCTGTAGGTTCCTGTCATTGATCTTGGGTGGAAAATCACCGAGAACCTCTGACAATCTCAGTGTGGTTTAATGGTAAGAACTTTGTTTTAGAAGTCGGAAGACCTACAGTTGAGCCCTAAGTCTAGCACTTACTGGCTTATTATCTTTAGCCTTCATTCAATCTCTTTAAACTTTAGACTGTAGAGTATTAAAACCACTTTGCCTTTAAAAGATCTGTCAAATTTCTAGAGGTGAATGGGAGGGAGTATGTAGAGAATTTTGAAATGTTTGTGCTTGTTATGGGGTTTACTCCATTGTGTTATCGTCAGACCTCTCTGATGTTAAATATGGCTTCATTTTCAAAGCCTTCATGTCAAAGATTTGTTATAAAGCGTAAATATAAGATAAAAGGTGAAAAAGCACCTAACACAGGTTTGATATGTGGAAAGTGCTTAATAAGTATTTGCTGCATTTCAATCTAAATCTTAATCAATCCCATGCATACATTGTCCTTTGAAAGGTTTTTTAAAAGAATTTGGTAATTTGCTTCCTGCCTTTCCTATTGTAGCTACTAACATCTCTTACTCTGAAACCCTCGTACCTTGGTCTCATTTGGAAAAAAGGGTGCCCAGGAAGAGGGTAGCATCTTAGAGTCAGCTAATGCTTGGTTCCTAATATCTACTGCACACAATAGTTATGAGAATTAAAAGAGACAGTGCAGTGAAACTACAAAATAAAGGACTAAACCAAGATTAGGAGATTGTCTCACTATTGTTGCCAAAGTTCCAAGAGAGTCCAAAATGATTAAGCTATCTAAGTAGTAGGATAACTTACAAACTAAAGCTTCTGTCTTAGAAAGTAAAATGGTGGGCCTGGATTCCCTTTTATCCCCTTCTGGGAGTTTTTTTGTTTTTTTGTTTTTTGTTTTTCCTTATACTAATTTTTAAAAGCTACCACATAAGGTTATTCTGGTATACATTTTTGGTAAATCTTTGTAATTCCTTATATTGTCAACATTCTAAGTATATCTCAGAAAATGTTAATTGAGCTCAAATGTTTGTATGGAATATGATAGTAATAAAAAATGCATTATTTATGTTTGTGTAACACATTTAGATTCTACTAATTGTATTTGTGCACCTAGAAAAAAATAACATTATTGTCAGCAAAATAGAAATGGTAGTCTTTAGTTGACAGGCTTATGTTTCTGCTTTTGTTAGGTTTTGTTTTATTGTTATGGTTTTTGGCTATAACATAAATAAGATTGACTTAATCTGCTGATCTCAACTTAAATAAGGAATTGAAATCCTATGTACACTTACATATATTTTCTCTGTTCTGACACCTTCCCTTAGATATACTGAAGTGTCCACTGTCCTTAAAATTTCTTTTCTTTGGGGATGAGCTTGGAGAAAATTATGTTAAGTGAATAAGCCAGGCACAGAAAGAGCCAGCCACACATCCTCGCTCATAAGTGGGAGCTAAAAAACAAACAAATAAATAAAAATGAAAGATACAGCAATCACAATAATATGTTGAACTTTCAAAGGGAGAGAACAAAACTGTGGTTAATAGAGGTGGGAGGGGAGAGGGGGGCTAGTGAGAAATTGGTGAAGGATTATAAAGAATGATTACGTTTTGTAAGGATGAATATGCTAATTATCCTGATTTGATCATCACATATTGTGTATAGGTATTGATATTCAACTCTGTACCCCACAAATATGTATAATAAATTATTTTTCAATAAAAAAATTATTTTCTTTGGTTAGCTCACTTGGGAGAGCATGGTGCTGATAACACAACCAAGGTCAAGGGTTCAGGTCCTTGTACATGCCAGCCACCAAAAAAAAAAAAAAAATCCTTCAGAGACCTTTCACTGTTCATCATGCTGAATAGTCATTTATTCCCATGTCTAGTCCTCCATCCTGTTGTTACTTCTTTTCTGATTTTGTGCTTTAGAGTTATTCCTTTCTCCCCTCTCAGATCCCTGGTTATTGTAGAAACAGAAAATAATTTAAATATTTCAAACAGATAAAACTTCAGTGTACTGACTTAACCAGCCATATTGAGGGTAGAAATCTCCATGTTTACCCTAGAATATTTTTCAACCCCTCTCTCCAAAAAACCAGTTTTTAAAAATATATAGCATTGGTTCTGCCTAGGACAGCCACATGCCAGAAAATAGCAAGTAACTCTGATGTGTTATTTTCAGACTTCTTTACACCCTCTTCCCACCTCCCCAGTAAAACAATTTATTCTAATTATCTCCAGTAGGGAGAATTAAGACTTGGAAATACTTAGTGCTAATGTCATGTAGAAGTTAAATTAGCCTATGAAGTAGGCTGGTATAATTCTATGTCTGACATTTAACTTGAAAGTATATTTGCTTTTTATTCACTTGGTGGGTCAGTAAAGAATGGTTTTTGTATATTAATTTGAGGATTTCTAATATGATGCACTAAATTAATATTTCTAAATCTAATATTGATTTCTAGCAGGAGAAAGTTCTAACTCTGTTTTCTCCCCTTATATTTACCTTAACAGGAAGAAGGCAGTATCAAAGAAATTGCAATCACACACCATGTAAAGGAAGGACATGAAAAGGCAGATCCTTCCCAGTTTGAACTTTTAAAAGTTTTAGGGCAGGGATCATTTGGAAAGGTAAGTCATGAGTATATGGTTTTGTAAAAGCTGTTTTTTGAAATTCACGTATATTTCATACACACGGGGAAATGAAAATATTTTTATGAGCTGCTACCAGTCTCCCTACCAGCAGTGTTTTCTGTGTTTTTGCATTTCTCACTGTCAGTAAGTATAGGCAAATGAATAAAATCATTCAAAAGTACATTGGATACTGTAGTAATTTGGCAGTATTCACTTCATACTCATTTTATCTTCAAGACCACACAACTTCTCTAGTTGTGCTTTTTGAATGATTAAAAATCACAAGATATTTCCTTGATACACTGGCCTCTTTTTGAGTCCTTATGTGGGGTTGGAAGGTGATCTTGCAATACTTTATGACTGCATCTCAGCCTTCCTTCCAGTGTACCCTAATACCAGCATAAAGTGAGTCCTCCCAAGGAAATAGGGTTGAAGGTTACCACTGCAAGTATGAAATGTTTTGGATTTATGGCTTGTCTTTAAAATAAATGCAATGGTTGCATTCTATTCAATAACATCCGTGTTTTTTTAATATCAAAAAATGTTTCCCAAAGCTACCAAGTAAAATTGCTCCAGAAGATGCAACATCTTTATCAGTTTTCTTCAAGTAGTCCGTGTCCTCCTGCTGCACCTCTCAGGGGTGCTTTCTGTACTCCATTTTAAGAAGTACAGCATTAAAATTGCTACTACTTCATCTCTCTAGACCATTTCTCAGCAAGAGGAAAATTCTGAAATTACATTCAATTTTTACAGCACAGTGATTCCTTACCATTTCTCTGTAAGGAAACATTTGAAGATATCATGCTTTGCAAACTTCAAAACAGCACCAGTTTAGCTCTCTTCTGTTTTTAGTGGGACTGCTTAGCAATTCTTGGCTAACGTAGGTAATTTGTTACAGTTGTTAACCTCCTTCAAACCCCAAAGATGCTTTTAATCCAAATATAAACTAAGTAGCCAGCGGAGCATAATGGTTGCAAGTTTGGGCTCTAGGTCAGTCAGACTTGGATTCAATTTTTTTTTTTCTTCCGCTTACTCATTGTATGTGCTTGAGCAAGTTACTTAACCTCTTGGAGACCCATTTTCCTCTTCTAGCCGGTCATTAAATAGTGAAGGTCCTCAAGACTCAATTCTAGGCTGTTATATCCTCCTATCCTCCCTACTAATTATTTTCTCATGCCCAGTATCTTAATTGTAACTCACATACAGCTGACGTAACAGATTTATAGCTCCAATATCAGTTGCTTCTCAGAGCTCTGAACTCTTATGTACAGCTGCTTACTTTTTTTGCATTTGCAAATCTCAAAGGCACTTTAAACTCAACATGTCTAAGACCAAACCCATTGTCAACCTATTTTCTGTCACTATGAATGGCATCCAGTTAAGTAAACCAGAAACTTGGGAGGCATTCTTGCCATATCTTTCTAGTCCTCCCCACCCCTACCTCCAGCCGGTCTGATCTGTCACCAGGTCCTCTTGATTCAGTAAAGATTTCTTTTTTTTTTTTCCTTTTTGTCTTTTTTTACTGACCGGTAATGGGATCGCAACCCTCAGTGTCGCGCCCGTACCGGGGACCGGCAACGGGATCGCAACCCTCGGTGTTGTGCCCGCACCACGCTCAGCCAGTGAGTGGGAGCCAGTCTCCACATGGGATCCGAACCCTCGGCGGGAGCGCCACCACACTCCCAAGCGGCGCACTCTCCATTGCGCCACCGGGCCGGCCCTGGTAAAGATTTCTTAAATCGTGCCTGTCTTCTCCTCCACTGCCACCACTCCAGAATATGTTACCACCCTTTCTCCCTGGTCTATTGACAGAGTCTTCTGAGTCTTTCCAAATTTATTGTTGCCTCAATCCATTATTTACGTTATAGCCAGCATGAGCTAATCTTATATTCTAGCCCCTTAGCCCTTCAGTAGCCTCTCTTTGCTTTTATAGTAAGGACAAATTCTTAAGATGGCTGAAAAGCCCCTCAATCTGGCCCCTAGCTACCTCTCCAACATCAGTTTATATACTTTCCACTGTCTGTGTTCTGGCCACATTGGCCTTCCTTTTTGGTCCTTAAACATGCCAGGCCCCATCCCACTAGAAAGCCTTTCCACTTCGTATTTCCTCTGCCTGAAACACTCTGCCCTGCCCCCATCCATTCCACAGCTGGTTAGCTCTTTTTGTACCTGTGGTCTCAGAGAAGCCTCCCGGCCATCCTGCCCAGATCACATTTCCTTGTTATACCCTCTCAGAACATTATATACCTCATTTTCAACTTACCCCAATTGCTGTTTTTCATTTGTACAATTATTTGTTTATTGGCTGTCTCTGTTCTGTGAGTGCAGAAGCCATGCCTTGTACCATGTTTCTGCATTGAACCAGTAGCATAGTGCCTAGCATATCATTTTGGAAAGAATTAATGAGTGTGTAATAGTCCTGACCCCACAGAGTAGTAGTGAGAATTAAATGATGTAAGGTCAAGCACATAATATCTGGTATTAAATTGTATTATCATGCCACTCAACAAACCCAAATAGACGAGTTTATTTTTATATATTAGATTTTCAGAGAACACAATATTTAAGTTCCTAGGAATTATCATGCTTCTCCCTTTATTTTTTTAAAAGTAACTTAAATACCTTACTATAAATAACAAACACTAAAAATAGGGCATCTCCTTTCTTACTCATCCTAAAAGGCTAATATAAGCCAAGGAAACAGGGATGACCTGTCAGAGCCTAGAATAGCTTCATGGGGGAGTGAGAAAGGTCAAAAATGCTCTGGTGGAGGAAAGTCTGATGGCAGCTGGGACTCCTGCTGCTCCTGCTGGGCTTGGCTGGTTACCAGCCACAGGAACCAGATGAAGATCCCCCTGAACAGAAGCTAAGGACTGGGTGGCTAACCTGGATATTGTCTCAATACCTCCACTATGACACTGGGCTAATTATTTAACCTCTCTAACTCCTAGCTTGGGCAGCTATAAAATAGGCTTTGCTTAGTAGGCCTGCCTCCCAAAATTGTCACAATCATCTATTACAAATGCTTGTGAAAGTGCTTTGCAAACTAAGAAGTGCTGCAAAGTGTTAAGAAGGTGCTTTCAAAGAAGAGTTGAAGAAAATTTGGAATCCACAAGGAGAATTTTTCTTGTAAAATGGAATAAAGAAGCTTGATTAATAAATCAAATAAATCTTAATTATCTCTACCTCATGAGGATTTATTTCTGTTCAAAAATATTAACAAAATCTGATTACCTTTAACATTTGAACATAATTCCACCTTAGAACCACCCCAATTAAGAATGTTTTTCTCTCCCTAGGTTGGCTCCCTGCTAACTGGCAGAAAGGAGCTAAAGGGTGGGGCATGGTGGAGAGGGGAAGGAGTGATTATAGGAGAGCAACATACCCTGCATCAGAGTTTCTATGCAAGTTGTGGTGCTCTTCACTTGATTTGGGGTGATTGCCCATTGCATTGGCACAATGTAAGTGAGAATCTCTGCCTTGCCCTAAAATCAGTTGAATGGATTATTTTTCACAATTTTGTGGTAATAGCCTGGCATGCTAATTCAGATAATTGAGAGATGACCCTAGTTAGTTCTTGGTTGTAATTGCTTCTCTTCTTCCCACCTGTGGCAGCTCAAGAACATTCCTATGAAAGAATAGGTAGGGAAAAAGTTGAAATTCACATCCATTTAGCAGGTTTGTTTAAAGGTTTGATGGAAAAGATTATGAGCCTAGTAGTCAAAATGAGAAAAAGGGACTTACTGATAGTCTTGTATTAGCCATTGTTTTAGTCCGTTTCTGTTGCTTATAACAAAATACCTGGAAATGGGTCATTTGTAAGAGAATGAAATTCATTGCTTACAGTTTTGGAGACTGGGAAATACAAAGTCCAGGCAACACATCTGGTGAGAGCCTTGTTGGTAGATAGTGACTCTTCATGGCAAAGCAGGGTGTCACATGGCAGATGGCAGAAGCAGAGAGAGAGAGAGCAAGTTCCTCATGTGCTCTCCTTTTAAAGCCCTCAGAACCATGCCCATGACCACCATTAAACCATCAACTTATTAATCCATTTACTAGGGCATGGTCCTCACAACCTAATCAGCTCTTCAAGGTCCCACCTTTCAGTTACCATAATAGGATTTCCCACCCTCTTAACACTGTCACAGTAGTGGTTAAGTTTCTAATACATGGACTTTGGGGGACACAATTCAATCCACAGCATTCTACCGGGGCCCCTAAAGCCTAATCAGCTCTTCAAGGTCCCACCTTTCAGTTACCATAATAGGATTTCCCACCCTCTTAACACTGTCACAGTAGTGGTTAAGTTTCTAATACATGGACTTTGGGGGACACAATTCAATCCACAGCATTCTACCGGGGCCCCTAAAGTTCATGTCTTCACAGGTAAATACATTCATTCCATCCACTAAGCCTTAATTTGTTTCAGCTCAAAATTCCAAAGTCTCAAGGGTCCCATCTGTGAAATCAATACAAGTTGTCTACTTCTAAGATACAGTGGTGGGACAAACATAGGGTACACATTCCCATTCCAAATGGCAGAAACAGGCCAAAAGAAAGTTATAACAGGTCCTAAGCAAGTCCAAAACCCAGCAGGGCAAGCGTCAAATCTTACAGCTGACGAATCATGTACCTTGATTCCATGTTTGACATCCTCTGCAGGGGTTGGGTCCCCACATCCTTAGGCAGCTCTGCTCCTATGGCTTTCCTGGTTTCAGGCCATGCTTTAGCTCTCATAGGCTGGCATTGCACACTGCTAGCTTCACAGTTCTGGGGTTTCTATGGAGGAATGCTGGAGATTGAATTGTGTTCCCCAAAGTCCATGTATTAGAAACTTAACCCTCATTGTGACAGTGTTAAGAGAGTGGGAAATCCTATTATGGTAATTGAAAGGTGGGATCTTGAAGAGATGTTTAGGTTGTGAGGACCATGCTCTAGTAAATGGAGTAATAAATTGATGGTTTAATGGTGGTCATGGGCATGGTTCTGAGGGCTTTAAAAGGAGAGCACGTGAGGAGCTCTTCTCGCTCTCTCTTTCTTTCTCTGTGTCTCTCTCTGCTTCTGCCATCTGCCATGTGACACCCTGCTTTGCAATGAAGTCACTTTCCACCAACAAGGCTCTCACCAGATGTTTCCTGGACTTTGGACTTCCCAGCCTCCAAAACAGTAAGCAATAAATTTCATTCTCTCACAAATTATCCAGTTCTAGGTATTTTGTTAAAAGCAACAGAAATGTACTAAACCAGAAAATTGGTACCAGAGGTGGGGTTCAAACCCACACAGATATATATCCATTGGATTTCCACAAATATTCAAAGGTATCATGTCACTGAATCTCTTGTCTTTTACAAGTGGGAATCAGGAGTATCAAATGGATTTATTCTGCATATCTCTGCACAGTTCACGCCATGGACTACCAGTGCTTTCTGTATTATTAGAAGTTGAGCTGTTAGCTTTTTTTATCGGGCCTAAAGCCCTGAAACTAATTGAAGAAATTCATCTTTAAGACTCTGTTTCTCTAGAACCACTCCTGGTACCAAAATCTGTGTTAGTCAGGGTTCTCCAGAGAGACAAAACCAATAGGATATGTTTATAAGTATATGAGAGGGGATTTATTAGGGGAATTGGCTCACATGATTGTGAAGAGGACTCCAATGATAGGCCATCTGTAAACTGGATGCCGGTAGCATGGCTTAGTCCAAGTCCAAAGGCCTCAGAACCAGGGAAGCCAATGGTGTGTCCTTGGTGTAAGTCTGAGATGCCAGTAGCATGCCTCAGTCCAAGTCCAAAATCATCAGAACTGGGGAAGCCAGTGGTGCCATTGGTGTAAGTCCTGGAACCCAAAAGCTGGAGAATCTCAAGCTCTGATGTCCACAAACAGGAAAGCAGAGTGTATCCCGCCCCAGCAGATAGAGTGATATACCTTTTTTCTCTGTTTTTGTTCTCTCTGGGCCCCCAGCAGATTGGATGGTTCATACCCATATTGAGGGCAGATCTTTCCGACCCAGTCCACTCAGGCTGTCATGCTAATCTCTTCTGGAAACACCCTCATGGACACACCTAAAAAGATATCTTTACCAGGTTTCTCAGTATTCCTTAATCTAATCAAGTCAACACCTAGAATTAACTGTCACAACCATATTATACCATGATCGTGAATTATTTACAGCAGGCTTTATTCATTTTGCATAAATCCTACATTGTATTTTGAAAGCAGCCAAAAATATTTGAAAAATCAAGATGCTCAGTAACATACCTTGGAATTTTGTTTTTCATATTTAGGTATTGGTGTTAATTTGATTGTAAAAAGGTGGGAGGTGGGGTTCTGACTTGTCACATTAGCTATTTTTGAATAGGATTCTTCAATTTAATTGTTTTAAATTGTTCTTCCAAGCACTGAGATTTACTTGCAGTTTTCATATACAGAAAAGACCCTTCATCAGTGAATAATTGTATCAATAGAAAATTGTGTCAAGAGGAACCCCTGAATAGCAATTTTGATAGACTCAGAAGAACTTTTGTTTTGTTAAAAGCAGAGCCATCACCACCCATGTTACACTTTAAATATGTTGGGCTTTTCTCTGTCTAATTGCTTCACAGGTAGTTTAAAGATTTTTCTGTCTTAATGTATTACATGTTCTTTTGGAATTGGCAAACAAGAAAATGAAAAAATATATTTACTTATATTGACACCCCAAATTATAACACACTGTTTACAACTCATATTTATAATTGATGCATTATAAGGAAAATACTTGATCTACAATGTATCAGAATCTGTACAGTAATAAACTATTTTATAGCAGGGGCCTTATTTTAACAAAGGTATAGTTTGTGATACTTTGTAACATTTATTTTCTCTTATTTAAATACAGGTTTTCTTAGTTAAAAAAATCTCAGGCTCTGATGCTAGACAGCTTTATGCCATGAAAGTATTGAAGAAGGCCACACTGAAAGGTAAGTACTGCTGCCATTGGAATTTATAAACAAACTAAGAGTCTCAGTAGAGCTCATGTGACTTCTAGGCCCATTTACTATATTCTCAATCAATTCCTGTCACTGGCTTTAAATTTAAACTGACTTTTAGTGAATTTTTCCTACTGGACTAGAAATCACATGGCTAGTAAGAAAAGGAGTTGACATGTTGTAGAAGAAGTATTATGAATTCGTCTTGGGCTTTAGGCAAGTAGAAGTTTAGAAGATTAAAACCGCGTTTTATTCATCTTCAAATTAATACAATTATTGTAATGTTTTGAAAAAGTGACTGATTTACTGGATGCAAAATAGCTTTTATTCTAAAAGACCTTATCATTTTGACTTCTGGTCTCCAAATAAATTTTTATTCTGAGCCTACGATTTTGAAAAATCTAAGGCAGTATTTGGCTCTTATAGGTAGAAAGTCATTTAGAAGAAATTGTACATAGATTTTAAAATACTTAAATCTTTTATTTAGTAGTATCACTTACTTTACCACATAACCTCTAAATGACTTATGTATTGATTCCTAGCCTCAGTTTTTTTTTTTTTTTTTTTTTTTTTTTTTTTTTACATGTGATTTATAAAGCTTTTAAAATATTCTGGAAGGAATATTTGCAATGATCATTGATAATTTCTGGTGTTATTCCCTATTAGTCACCCACTGTGGATATTGTCATCATACCAAAAGGTCTCACCTTTCTCTATGAAAACCATTCTTTGCTTCCATTCTCTTGCTCCCTTCCTGAATATATTTACTTTTCTATCCAGTCCCTCCCCCATAGCATTACCACTTACTTGATTCTTGTTAGGCCCAGGGAATTCAATTATATTCTCAGTGCCCTACCTTTCCATCACTGCTTTTATAACTTTATACTCATGTTATAAAACTGCATAGATGGAACTTAGATAGTTCATTCACTAAAGCAACAAAAGTAATTTGTTTTCATGTACTTAACTGGATCTGTGTTGTGTATAATATACAATATAGTTTGTAAAGGAAACTCTGAGAAACTTAGATATCAGGAAAGGAAATAAGTGCCTAATTTCTATTAGAGAAGGCTAACTGTTAAGAATCACAGTACTCCATTAGCCATCTAATTAGCTCAATATCATCAAGCTACCAGTTGCCTTTTTCTTAAAATTTAACAAAATGACTCAGAATTTCATTTCTGAATCCACAATATTCTGGAAAAGAAGAATAATGAGAAGGAAACAAGCTCTGTCAGGTATTAAAGCTTATTTAAAGTAGCAATAATTCTGATTTCTATACAGGCCTAGAAATCAGAGGAACAAAATAGTACAAAATATATATTAAATCTTAATATATTTGTTACAAAAATATTGAGTACCTGCTGTGTTATATGACAAAGCAGGTATACAAAACAATGGGAAATTAAATAACGATTTCATAAATTTTGTTTAAAATATTCCTGAGCAACCTGGAAAACAATTTGTTTAGAGTTTTCTCTTTAACCTTATACCATAACAAACTCCAACCTAAATGAATTTTACAGCTTGGCACATCTGGGATATTTGTGAAGAGATACTGAGCAGATTACAAACAGATAGACAATATAAAAATTGTTAACCTTTCATACAATGAAAAATGGTATAAACAAGAAAATATTTGCCTCAAATATTATAAAATATTGATATAAGGAGTTGATTAAAGGGCTCCTACTGGGACAATTTAAACATTGCATATAATGAGCAATAATGAATAATAGTGATAAATTACAACCCATCAAATAAAATAAGAATCTATGAGTTAATTCATAATTAATAGGGGAGAAGGGAAATCTCTTCCTTGCAGTAGAATTCTGACTAATAGATGTAAAAAGAATGATGAAGTTAGGAGTTGATAAGAAAGAACATTACATCCTCCATCTAAAGGATTTCAGAATAAAGTTTGCACAAGGAGATAAAATAATCTTTGGGGAAATGTTCAGTTTTGCTGAAAATCAAATGCATGTTAAAATAATGAGTTATCATTTCATATGATGGCAGCATAAATTGGAAAGCAGTTTTGCAGCAAGTATGAAGAGCCGTTATTGCTGCTAAATTAACCTGAGGAAATTACCCTTAAAAGGAATTTGTATGTTTGAAAATTCTCACTGAAGCATTATTTACAATAGCAAGAATTTAGAAATCACATGCACATTGAAAAATAGAGGAATGGTTAGAAAATTTTGATATACCACTTAATAGGATATTATTAAAATAAAGTATTTTAAATATAATTACAAAAATGAACTTAATGAAAATATGTAAGTGAAAAACTGTAACAAACTGGGCTACTGCAAGTATGTAAATTGTATAGATATAGACTATGGAAGGGACATAGAAAAGTGAAAATATTTGACTTACAGGAATTGTAGGCTGCTGGATAATTTCTTAATGTGTTCTTAAATGTAATTTTTATTTTTATTGAGATAGTATCTGCACAGATTATTATGCAAGATAGCAGTGCTTTACCCACCCTCCTGCATATCCCAATTCTTGAACCCCAGAGACAATGACTTTCATCTCTTCAGCTGCTGCTTCTGCCATTTATCTTCATATTCAACACTCTTATATTGCAATTTTTTGACTGTTGTTTTCATTTGGAGACATAATCTATTGACTTCCTAACTTGGAAGATTAGAATCTAGTTCTATAATACTGCCACCCACACACAGTTTCCCTTTTCATGTTTTCCTAGTAATGTTTTCATTATTATAGCATTATAAAAATTGTTCCTAGCTTAACCAAATAGTACACAGGAGTCACATTCCTTCACATCTTTGTTGTATTTGACCTCTTTTTCTAAATTCTGTATCTACTATTTTCTCGGTTTACTTTCTAGTTTTGGTGGAACACATCTTACAGTAGCTAACTCAGAAAGGGTGAATGGATGGTAAATTTTTTGTGACCTTGCATGTTTGAAAGTGCCTTTATTTTATCCCCCACTTAATTTATAATTTGGCTGGGTGTAAAATTCTAGGTCAGAAATAATTCTCCCTCAGGTATTTGAAGGCATTACTTCTATTGTCTTCTAGTTTCCTATGTTGCAATAATGAAATTATTGCCATTCGCATTCCCAGTCCTTTGTTTGTAAGCTGCTTTTCCTCTTTGGAAATCTTTAGAATCTACTCATTATTCCTGGTATTCTAAAATTTATATAGTGGTATTTTTTAGTGTGGGTTTTTAAAAATTCATCATACCAAGTATGGGATGATCTCTTTCAGTCTAGAAACTCATTACTTCAGTTTTGGGAAAGTTGTTTTTTGTTTTGTTTTGTTTTTGTCATTTATTCTCCATTTTGTAACTGCTACGCTTTGGATCTGTTGGACCTCCTGGATCGTTCCTTAATATTCTTTATTTTTCCTCTCCTATTTTCCATTTTTGTCTTTTTTTAAAAAATATTTTCAGGGAAATTTCATCATCTTCCAATGCTTCTATTGACGTTTTTATTTTTGCCATCATTTTTAGTTTCCTAGGTTTTCCTTGCTCCAATTATTCCATTTTTTTAAAACTTTTTATTAGGGAAAGTGTCAAACATTTAAGAAATAATGAACCCCCATATACCCTTCTCTCTGCTTCAGCATTTATCAATTCATGGTCAATCTTTTTTCATGTATGTTCTCCCCCTTCCCCTCTTGATATTTTGAAGCAAATCCCAGGCATTATATAATTCCTTCCATAAATGATTTAGTGTATATCTCTAAAAGATAAAGACTCCTAAAAGAAATAATATAATTCTGTTATTATACCTACAAAATTAACATGTAAATATCCAGTCAGTGTTCAAATTTCTAGTTGTCCCTACTGTTATAATTCATTTTTCTTTATGCAATTTGTTTGAATCAGTACCCATACATATAAGGTCTATACTTTGCAATTGGTTGATTTCTCTAAGTCTTTTTAACTGTGAGCACTTTCTTCATATCTCTTTTTTTTTTCCCCTTGTAGTTTATTTGTTGAGGATGCTTGTTCTTTCCCCTGCCCCATCCCATTTAAAGCCTCTTGTTCTTGTTTCGTGGGTGCCATATCATCTTTGCTCTCTAAGTAGATATAAATTACAAGGTTGGATTTCGTGGTGTTTAAGTTTTCTTCTGTTCCTCACGTCATCTCTGTTTCCCTTTATTCCTTTTTTTCTGTTTATTTTGATGTTTTTCATTTTTAGAGCCTTTCCTCAAATGCCAGGGAATCCTTTGCTGTCTTTTTCTTGTTTAAGAGTAAAGTACTAAAAAGCTTATTGGAAAGGATTCTGTGGCAAGAATTTGCTTATTTCTCATTGGCTTCCTTCCCTTAGGCTTAGTTTTAGCTTTCTCTCATCTGTATGTTACCACTTACTACCCATCTTCTGCTATTGCTTCCTCTCCTGTTCTTTGTCCTTGTGAGTTTATGCATAATTTTTCCATTATTGTTATTTCAATGGGGTTTTGGAAAAAAGTAGAGAGTAAAACATCCATGTTTAACCAGAAGTCTCTTTCCATTTTAAAGTTCCTATTAATCCAATAAATGGGGTCAAATAGAAGTCAATAGCATTAGGTCGAGTTAATGGGGACTTTTGTCCTGTTGAAGTGGTCTGTCAGCCTGGAAGGTTTTGTAAACCATTGCTTAAAACAGTTTCTTAATACATAATCCTTGAAATATAGACAGCATTTCTTCTTGTTCATTCTCATGTTCAAGCAAGGAGGGTTTAAATCTAATAACTACTATATATATATGAGAAAAATTATTTCAAAGGAATCTGGTTGCTTTACCAGCATGAGTCAGTATTAACCAATTCTGTTTTAGGATTTAGAAGTTGACCAATGTAAAACATGCCTTCTTCTGACCTAGTATGTACTAATCAAATTCCTGATTATAGAATGATTTATATTTGTCAGTAGGTCTTCCATAAGCAAAAGAAACCAGATTAGATCATTATACAGTTCTACCTCAGACAAAATGAATTGGAATTCTTTAGTGAGTGAATCTCACTGCTCATTTTCAACTAAACAAAGTCTCATCAGTGTTACATATAAGGAAATGTTGAAAACTCTCTCATAAGATAATCATAATCAAAAGAAAATCATCTTGTTGTGGCCCTTCATTTTTCAGAGGAGAAAACAGGAAATCTCTGGAAAAAAATATCTGAGCAATGATTTGACCAAGGTAACTCATCTAGTTATTAGTATAGCCACTAAACAGTAGTTCTTGACTCCCAAATATTTTTTTCCCATTGTAGTAGAATAATAGAAGAGGGATATATTTGGTAAATATATTGTTGAATATTTTGCTGCTTAATTAGCAGAGGAGTGACTTTTAAATGATAAGTTTTGTATGCTTACTGAAAGTGGTAGAAATTTAGAATCCAGCTTTAAGGTAATAGGAACTAATTAAGATTGTGTGGGTAACAACAGAAAAAGGACAGATTTAAGCTACACTGGAACAGAATTATCAGTAGGCCTTGGTGATGAACTTCATTCACGCAGAAAATAGAAAGGACCCGTTGGATATAATAAGGAAAATGCCAGAGTTGTAGTGATAGGACAAGGTAATGAAATCAGATTGATATTGAATTTGACAGACTAGCTGGACAAATGAGTTAAAAGACAGAGCTGCACAGACATCAAGAGCCATCTATTCCTATTCCTGATTTGCCTATTTTCAGTCAATGGCACCAAAACCTCCCAGTTGGGGGTAGAAAACTGACAGAATGGGAAAAATAGGATTTTTTTTAGTTTTTTTGTTTATTTTCCCCAGAGGTCTTATTTCTCTGTTTTAAATATCTGTGGTCACCTTATAAATTCAAAATAAAACCAACTCAGCTTTCTCCCTGTCCTTAACCCCCCAAAAGACTCTCTTTCCCATTCTTTCTATTTAATCTTTGACACAACCATTCAGAGTACTTACATCAGAATGTATTCCAATCATTTATTTACTTTCTGTCATTCCTACTAGATTATGAGCTTCTCGGAGATTATCTTAATTTGTGTTTGTATCCCTAGTCCCTAACACATAGACTTTGCTCAGGAAATATTTGGTTGCTGAAAAAGAACTTTGCCCACAGGGTCAAACATAAATTCATCCTAGCATTCCAACTTATCAAGAATCTGGATCCTCCCTACTTTACCTCCGCAGTAGTAAACCTCTGTTTCCACGCTGATTTTCAGGTTTCTTCCTGTCATTCATGCCTCCATGTCTTTACTTGTGCTGGTACTCTATACCTGCACTCTTCTTTTCTAGGCCCTATCCTTCCCATCCATCTAAATTCGACTCAGAAAATCTTAAAGCTTCTGCCCTAACCCTCCTCTTTCTTCTAGCCTTCTTATAGTAAGTAAAACTGATCTTGCCCTCTCTGAATTCCTGCACTACTCATTGCTGGTAATAAATTTTTTTTGTCCCTTAATTATATTTATGGTGCTTTTGAATATAATAATGATAGCTACCATTTAATTGAAGATCTCTTACATACCAGGCTCAGGGTACAAACCTTATCTCAAGTGGTCACATGCTCCTCAAAGGTACAATGTGTTATTACCATTTTACTCTTGTAGCTGAGAGGTGATTGAGGCTCAGAGTGTTTAAATAAGTAACTTGCTCAAGATTACACAGATCTGAATTCAGTTCTAACTCCAGGTTCTGACTTTGCTCTTTCAGTTTTACCATAGTATCTTCTCTCTCCCCCTCCTTTTCCCATCCTTCCCTCCCTCCATCAAAATAGAACTTTTTGGATCTATCTGTCCTTTACCATGTCTGCCACATTATATAGGTGCTTAATGAATCTTTGTTTAATTGAGATGATGGGGTTGGTAAGGGTATTAAAACCTATTCCATTTTTTTGTGTTTTAATATTTCATTAGGACACCATGTTTTTTTAAAAGTTGCATGCTTTTTTTGTCATTTTTCCACAACTTTGATAAAAAAACTTGTAAATTTGATGTTAAAACCAACACCTATTATGTTCTCTGTATTTATTTTTTTGAACTTAAAGCATAGATTTTATAAATACACATAATTTATTTTGGTTATATAATGCAGTAAAAGATATATTTATTAATTTTGTAAATTCAAGAGCAATAAACAAAACATTCACATTTTTATACACATAAGCAAAATTTTAATTAAAATAGGCACCAAAAAGAATTTGTTTTAGAGATTATCTTTGTAAGATATTACAATGTAGCATGTGTACAATTTTTTATAGTTCGAGACCGTGTTCGGACAAAGATGGAACGTGATATCTTGGTAGAAGTTAATCATCCTTTTATTGTCAAGTTGCATTATGGTAAGTTATGAATTACTTCCCACTTCATCCCTTTACCTCATCCCCTACTCCATGAGTGCATTCATATATACTAATGTATATATATATTTGCACATATTTGTATGTGTTTAGCAGATGACAGACTTTAGAAGCTTTTATTATGTTTAGCTTATATTTCTTTTAAACATTATAAGGTTAGTTTCTGAGTGATAGCCATAGGAATAGATAATGATAATCATTGCTTTTTAATTACAATAATAATTAATAATAATGTACCAGCATTTTATAGTTCATATGTGTTAGCCCAACGTAAAAATCCTTAATGCCAGGGTATTAAAACTTTTACCACCTTTCTTTTTCCCAAAGCCATGTGCTTTTTCTCAGTGGGTAAATGTGTGGTGATTCTTATTATGGCTAATTAAATCTAACCAACCCCCATTTTTTCTGTAGTTAGTAGCATGTTTTTTGTATTTTATTTCATGGTTAAGTAAGTCTTTTTCTGCTGTAAGTTTTTCTTATTGATCATGTGTTTAGAACTATTTTATTCCTGAGTGACTCTTGCCTATCGAAAATCTAGTGTTTTCATAATGAAAGAAACACTGCGTTTAACATTTCCACATGGAAACTAAGAAAAAAATCAGTGGTTTTCTTCTAAGTACAAATAAATTTAAATCTGATATGACATTAATTTGCTAAAAATAATATTCATTTGTGAATGAATTAATCTGATGTAAGCCTAAAGTAATAAACTACGATGGATTAAATGGAAACTTTTGTTTCTTCATTCAGCTTTTCAAACTGAAGGGAAGTTGTATCTTATTTTGGATTTTCTCAGGGGAGGAGATTTGTTTACACGCTTATCCAAAGAGGTATATAATTAATCTCTGTTTTTAACCTATTTATACACATCCTGTTTTAACTAAAGCTTTGTTATATTTCCATATTTCAATATTATGCTTACTATATTTTCTCTAGTGGCATAAGATTTTTATATTGAAGAATCTGAGCCAAAAAAGAGTTATTTTCCTACTTTTTCAATTTATTCTGAAAGCAGGACTTTAAATTGATAAGTGAACTGTGTTTATCTTAATTCTATTTCTTTCGTAGTTTTTTCAGAAGCCATAATATATCAACGAAATATCTTTAAACAATTAGTAGTGGAAATTCAGCATGCATTTTAAAGATCATTTTTCATTTCTAAAATGTTATTGTGGGACAACAATGGCACAACCTAAATATAGTTGCTACTTACTTAGCAAAATGTAAAATGATTTCTCCTGCGGTGCATAGTTAGCATTTAGTAAATGATTTGTTGACTGATTTGCAAATTATTTTCAGTAGTAAACTGTGAATAAACCTATGTATAATTAGCATATTTATAAATTTTTAAAGATTTAAACACAAAAAGAAAATAAAGACAGAGAAATTATTATTTTATTGTAGGTGATGTTCACAGAAGAAGATGTCAAATTCTACTTGGCTGAACTTGCACTTGCTTTAGACCATCTACATAGCCTGGGAATAATCTATAGAGATTTAAAACCAGAAAAGTAAGGAATCATGCTACTAAGTTGAATACAATGTAATATAATTATTTATGAGGTCGTAAAAAATAAAGTGACTTCATAGAACTCTCACAGCATTGTATTAGAGTGCCTGTGCTTTACATCTCTGCCAACACTATGTATTCTCATGCTTTTTAAATCTCGGTTAATTTAAAAATATTGTCTTGTTTTTATTTGCACTCTTTGTTAATGAGGTTGAAATCTATATTTATTGGCAATTTGTATTTCTGTGTGAATTTTCTGTTCATGGACTTTGCTCATTTTTCTTTTAGAATGTTATTTTTTCCCATTGATTTATAAGAGAACTTTACAAATTAAGAATTTTAACCATTTGACATGTTACAAATACATTTTTCCGGTCTTTAACTTTATTTATGTTATTTTAATCTACACACTTTTTTCCCCCTCAGATCTACCTATCTTTTCTTTTGTGATTTCTTCCATTACTTTTATCCTTAAAAAGGCTTTTCCCAATCCCATGATCAGATATTTTTCTTCTGATTTTATGGGGTGATTTTTTTTAACTTCATTTAGAAATTTTTTGGTATTAGGGATGGTATAGAGCTAACCCTTCCTCCCAAATATCATTTATTGAAAATTTTCTTCTCCAGGTAATTTCAAATTTTAAGTGTGAGTTGAGCAAATTTCCCACAGCTTTTCGAATAGTAGTCATCAAGAAGCTGATATTATTTAAATTGTGCACACTTCTGTGTTTTAATTTGTCTGTGTTTACTATCTACCACTGAGTAAGAAAGGTTTTTTTCTCCTTTAAGGATATAAGCAAGAGCCTTGCTCTATCAAGACTTGCTTTACTGACTTATAATTCATATGCCATACAATTCATCATTTAAAGTGTACAATTTCATTGTTTCTTTCATATATTCACAGAATTGTACAATCATCATCTTTATTAAGAATTTCGTGTGGTGGTTTGGTTTTGTTTGTTTTGTTTTGTTTGTGGCTGGCCCATTCAGGGATCTGAACCCTTAACCTTGGTGTTATAACACCATGCTCTAACCAACTGAGCTAACTGGCCAGCTCCTTTTATTAAGAACTTTGAATATTACTTACTTTAAAATGTTATGTGCAAAATTTAAATTATTATGACAGAAAATAGAGGAAATGCTTCTCTGGAACCCTTTTAAGTGACCATTTAGAAATTGTTATGCTTTCACATTTTATGTTTGTTTTTCATATATTTTGTTTTTGGATAAGTTTCATATGGTTCTGTTTTTAGTCCCCAAATAATTACTAACTTTTCCTTATTATTTTCTCAACTTCTAACTATCATGACACAAAATATAATTCTTGGTGAGAATAAATATTCGAGCACATAGTCATTAGAAAAAAAATTATTATAAACATAAGATTAAATATTCATAAGAAAAAAATAAGTGTTCATGTTTTATACCATTTACTTGAATATATTTATTGTAGACCATTGTATTAGCATTGGTCATAAAATTATATATAAAGCATGGGCCCTGTCTCAAGGCTTGAATAAGATCAAATATAGATAAGACTGCTTATAGTGAGATCTTTCACAAAGGTGTCTCATTGAGGCTATTAAATTGAACTAATGTTTAGTTGGTAAATGATCCAAGTAAATACCATCACATAGAACTTGGGAGAAATATAAATTTTTAGGCTAAATGTTTTATGAACTGTTAGGGGTTTTCCAGATTCTTTTAAATTAAAGCTCTGTTATAATAAATATGGCTAAAAATCATTATTAATATTGAAAGAGAACTTTATTGAAAGTAATACAGCTGACTTTTTCTTTCAAAGATAAAGTATAGGCATGATTACCTTAAAGAACACAGTTTCTGTGGAAGGCATAAGTAATGCTCATTTAGCCATATTTTCTTTTTTTTCTTTCAAAATTATCAAGGATAACTTGAAGTTTGGTTTGTTTTTAGAACTCTTTCTTGTATTTATTAGACAGAGGGGGGGAGTGATTTCCACCATACCTAATGATCCCCTTTACATTCCTAAATGTGTTGGTTTGCTTCATAGTCAAGCATAATCAAAATTAATTATTTTTTTCATAACAAGTACCTTCTTATGAAAGAGACTTGAAAAATATGTCCTTACTGAATTGCCCTCAGCAGTAAACTTTGCTGTAATTATGTTTGAATTGATGAAGTCGGAAGGTTGGTAATATTTTTGTCATAGTAAAATTTTATAACTATATCTGACTTGCACATTTTTTAGTTATAATAGAAACTAAGGAAAAGCCTATATTATGTGATAACCTTAAATATAAGTGAAATGATTTATTACTTGAACTTTCAAGTCAGTATACTAAAATACCTATCCAGAAATAGTTACTGGCTTACAGCTTAGTATTTACTTCTTTCTGTAGCTCCTTAATTAATGGCATTACTCTCCAATCAAGTATCTGCTCAAGCCAGAAACCTGAGTGTCATTTTCCAATTGTTCTTTATCATGACTCAAAGAACACACTAAAAGCCCTTTATTTTTCTCTCTGTTTTCTAAAATTGCAGATCTGATTATCTCTACCCTCCATGCATGTATACCTTTTATGGTCTCCATTGTCCTTGAGAAGAAGCCCAAACTATTTGGAATGCCTTGTAGGCCCTTTGCAGACTGGCCTCATTCATCCAACAAACATTTCTTATTTATCTCTCCTCTGCCAGACACTGAGCTACAAAGATGAATAAGGTCAAATCCTCTAGGAGCTCACTGTTTACAGGGAAAGAGAAAATGCTGGGAAATGTATACAGTGAAGGGATGGGTCAGTGAAAAACAAGGAGTGTGGGGAAGGTGGTGTGTTGAGAAGAAGAGGACAGTGTAGAATGTGTCAGGAAAAACACTAGAAAAGAATAATTGCAGATACCTTTAAAGTGACCAAGAGAATGACAAGTCTAATGCTTTTCATTCATATATGTGGACCCTTGATCTACTGTGCAAGTACTAGGAAGTTTTGTCAGGGCACCTCTGCGGAAAGGCATTAGAAAGAGCAGCTTGGAAGAGTATAGGTTTTTTGGTTCTTTTCCTAATAGTTTTCAGGTGCTCGTGGATCATTAATACAAGTTTATGCCTTTGGGATTTGTTATAAATATATGTTCAGAATATAATTTTTTCTTCCTTTACCTTTGCATTCTTATTCACAATCTAAAGTAATATTTTAGAAAATGTGGTGATGTGATGCTTAAGGAAGTAACTTCAGTTTTAGCTTCTAGAAAATGAACTACATTTTATATTGATAATGTAAAATTTTAAAAATCTCTAGTAGTTTAAAAAGATTTCCTGACTTCATTGTTTTCTTTCAGCATACTTCTTGATGAAGAAGGTCACATCAAGTTAACAGGTAAAAATCCTCATTTTGTTAAAATATTATTGATGTCAGCTTCCTGACTCATGAGTGGGGATGAAAACCATCCCATAGGCTGTCTTCATGATTAAAGGAGATAGGCCATTCTTATTCCCCTCCCCCCAGCCCCCACCCCAGGCCCTGAAAGTGGACCTCAGCCCTGCCCATGGCACTCTGCAACCCTGGAGCTGAACAAAAAGCCCCAGGGCTCTGAGATGGGGGGCCAAGGGCCTTAGCCTGACCCCCTTTCCCCATCTGTCCCCTAACAACATCTTAGAGTGTACTTATTAGACATGAGCGCTTCTGTTCCTGTGGGGTGTGTGGCTTATCTGCTCATGTCCTTCACCAAGTTTGTTGATCTTTGTGTTAAATTTGTCCCTTAATCAACTGACATTAAAATTTTTTTTAAAAAGCAGCAGCTTAGGTAGAAGTTTTGAGGTAAAAATAGATATGGTTGATTATTTTGTTTTGGTTTTCACATCTTAAGATAACACCAAGAAACTTGCTTTATAAAGTTTACTTAGGCAAAATTGGTGATTTAGTAGTTCTGTAGGTGTGCAGTCGAGCTAGGCATCCATAATTAACAATAATTTACTGCATGTTATCAAATGTCTAGAAGAGAGGAGCTTTAAATGTTCTCATCACAAAGAAATGATACATTTTTATAGTGATGAATTTACTAACTACCCTGATTTGATCACTACACGTTGTATACATGTACTGAAATATAACTGTGCACCACAAATATGAATAATCAGTATGTTTCAATTAAAAATTTAAATTAAAAAAAGATTAAAGGAAAAAAATAGATAAAATATTATCTCCTACTGTTTATAATTTCCTTTAAGGTTGATTATGGTTCAAATATTGATTAATACATTGTGTTAAAAACTTGGTTAGAACTTTTAAATAATTAATGTAAATATTGGAATTCAAAGTTTAAAATTTATGTGTTCAAATTACTGTAAGATATTTATGAATTCAATATTTATTTTGGCAGATTTTGGCCTAAGTAAAGAGTCTATTGACCATGAAAAGAAGGCATATTCTTTTTGTGGAACTGTAGAATATATGGCTCCAGAAGTAGTTAATCGTCGAGGTCATACTCAGAGTGCAGACTGGTGGTCTTTTGGTGTGTTAATGGTAAGGTTTGGGGGTTTTTTTTTGGGGGGGGGGGGGTTGCTTGTTAAATGAGAATCAGCAATGAATGTTATGAGAGAGAAACTGGTATTTTTTATTTTCTGTATTTTATACATATAATAAATAACCAAGAAAAATTATTGCATGAAGTGTAGAAGGACTGCAAAACCCATTAGTTGCTTCTATCTCATCTTAATTTGAAATGGCAAAAATACATTACCCTAGATTTTCTGCTAAATAGTACAATCGAAAGTATTAATGGTGCTTATGCTTTGGGAGAACCTGGTGCAGAAATCTATCAGTAAATGACCTTTAAAAATAAAATAAGTTCATATGAATTGGGCATGTCTGTTAAATTGTTCACATATCTATACTTTAAAATTGCCATTTAAAATAATAGCTTAGTTGTTTTTAGGAATTATTGAGAAGTTCAGTAATGAATATAGTAGAAATATAGACCACTCGTTTTATTATGTAGCAATTTTAGAAGATTTGGTTGTAATTAAGATGATGCTTTTTTAAAATATTTTTAAACACTATACTTATTGGCTAATACCTCTGGTTATTTTGCCTTTCTATAGTTTGAAATGCTCACTGGTACACTACCTTTCCAAGGAAAAGATCGAAAAGAAACAATGACTATGATTCTTAAGTAAGTACTCCCAAATGGAGATTTTAAAATAAATGCTTCAAACTAAAAATGGAATTTTAGAATGTTGGCTGTAGTGTAAGAAATAACTAAGAAATTCATCAATTACATGTTTGAAATACAAACTGCATAGATTTAGAGTACTCATTATTTTCATGTTAATGGCAAAATATTGAAAGCTTTACTTTTGAGATTTGGAATGTGACAAGGATGCTCATTTTTCCATTTCTGTTTGCATTGTCCTGGAGGTCCTAGCCAGTATGGTAAAGCAAACAAAAAAAGTAAAGTATAGGGTTTTAAAAGAATAAAACTGTCATTATTTAGATAAAGTGATGGCATCCATAGAAAATCTAGTTGTCATATAAATTCTTGGAATTAATAAGAGTTTAGCAGAGTTGCTAGATACAAGGTCAGTAAACAAAAATCTATTTCATGTCTGTATACTAGCAACCAAAAATGAAATTTGAAAAGAAGATACTGTTTACAATAGTAAGAAAAATTATTAAATGCATAGGCATAAATCTAGCAAAAGTTATGTAAGACCTCTATGCAGAAAATTAGAAAATTTTATTTGAAGAAATTTTTAAAAACCAGAATAACTTGAAAAGATATATAATGTTCACATTATGACAGACCTAGTGTTGTAAAAGTATTGGGTTCTGTAGATGAGTGTTATCCAATAGAGATACAATGCGAGCCATGTACATAATTTTAAGTTTTCTAGTAGCTACATTTAAAAAAGTAAAAAGAGGGGGTTGGCTGGGTAGCTCAGTTGATTAGAGCATGGTGCTGCTGATAACACCCAGGTCCAAGGTTTGATCCCTGTACTGGCCGGCCAGCTGCTGCCTACCCTCCCCCCCCCCAAAAAAAAAGTTAAAAAAAAAACGAAGTTAATTTTAATCATATATTTTATTTAACCCAATATTTCCAAGATGTTATCATTTCAACATATAACCGATGTTAAAAAATGATTAATGAGATATTGTAAATTACTTTTTCCTACTCATTCGAAATTCAGTGTGTGTTTTTTGGGGGGTTTTTTTGTTTGTTTGTCTTTTTCGTGATCGGTAAGGGGATCGCAACCCTTGGTGTGGTGTCGCCCACACCGCGCTCAGCCAGTGAGCGCACCGGCCATTCCTATATAGGATCCGAACCTGTGGCGGGAGCGTCGCTGCGCTCCCAGCGCCGCACTCTCCCGAGTGCGCCACGGGCTCGGCCCCAGTGTGTGTTTTATACTTAAAATTTGGACTGGCCACATTTCAAGTACTCGGTAGCCATATGTGGCTAGTGGCCACAATACTGGATAACAAAACTATAATTTCAAAGCAAATCGAATAAAAATCCTAACAAGTTTTTGTATGGAACTTGATAAACTGATTCTAATATAATACAAAGGACCAAAAATAGCTAAAACACTCTTGAAGAAGATTGGGACAGGAAGACTTGCTTTACCAGGTATTAGGTCTTATTATAAGTGTAATTAGGACAGTATGGCATTGAAACAAGTATGGAAAGTAGACCTGTGCGATAGAATAGAGAGCTCAGAAACAGACCTATATGTATATAGACACTTTGTTTACAACCATTAGGAACTACAGAGCAGTAGGGAAAGAACAGCCTTTTCTTATCTTAATAAATCATGCTGAAAAATTTGGATATTTATATAGAAAAAATAATAATAACAATCCCTACCTTACACCAATACATAAAAATCACTTCCAATTATATTATAAATATACAAGGAGTCTTCAAAGAAGTCTTCATGGAAAGATTCATATTATCTTTTAATTCTATTTTTCCACAAACTTTTTGAAGTACCCTTGTATATATGTGTAAAAAGGCAAAAAAGATTCTAGAAGAGACTATTAGAATATCTTCATGACCTTGGGGGTAGGAAAAATCTTAGGACACAAAAAGCATAAAGAAAAATATTGATACCTTATTACATTTAAAATTAATAACTTCTTCTCATCTAAAGATCCCATTAAGAGAGTAGAAGAAGAAATTTGCTACATATAACCAACAAAGGGCTTGTATCCAGAACTCCGTCTAATCAGTAAGAAAAAGACAATCCAATAGAAACATGGGCAAGAGACGTAGGGACCTCACAAAAAAGGATATTCACTTGCCAGTAAACTGAAAAGATGCTCACCTCATTAATCAAAAAATGCAAATTAATACCACAGTGACCTACCACTGCATATCCACCAGAATGGCTAAAATTAAAAAGACTGACAACACAAAGTGTTAGTGGGTTGTGGAGCAGTGGCAACTTTCATACACAGCTGGAAGGACTATAAATAACCACTTCGAGAAGCAGTTTTTGTCATTATCTTCTAAAGACAAATATATGTATACCCTCAACCAATAGTTCTACTCCTAGGCATGCACCCAATTTATATGCATCAGTACTTGCACATCAAGAAATAAGTATAAGGCTATTCATGGCAGCATTATTTGTAATAGCCAATAAAGTAGAAACTGGGTCATTATCAGTAGAATAGATTAATAAATAATGGTATACTCATGCAGTTGAATACAGTAGGAAATGTATTTACTATCTGTAAATATTTTAGGCTTTACAGGCCACGCAGTCTCTGTCTCATATTCTTCTTTGTATTTTTTTTTTTCCAACCCTGTAAAAACATAAAACAAGAACCATGCAAAAATAGGCCAAGGCCTTTGGCCCATGGGCATACTGTACCATACAGCAAAGAAAATGAACAAACCACAGTTGCATGCAACGACTTGGTTTAATCTCACAAGAATGTTGAACAAAGGAAGTTCAGACACAAAAGAATAAATACTATGTGATTCTATTTATAAAGTTTACAAACCAGGCAAAACTAAAGCATAGCTTTTAAGATCCATATTTAGACAGTAAAAGCCTGAGACAAAATAGTGAAAGTAGTTACACTGGATGAGGGTTTCTGGCAATGTTATAATTCTTGGCCAGATGACTATTCACTTTGTGATAAATCACTGAGCTGTGTACTTTTGGTTAGTTTTTTTGTTTGTTTGGGGATGGATTTGGGGGGGGCATTTTATGTTATTCACAATAACAAAAGGTTAAACAATATGTGCTACATAAATGACTGTTCACTGAACTTCCATCACTTGAACCTTCATCACTCCATCTACTCTGGTCTCTTCCTTTCAGCTACCAGACACTCTCTAATGTTGAAAAACCAAACCCTTTCTTTGACCTGGCCTTCCTTTCAAATTACTGCACCATTTTCCTGCACCCTTTCAAGAGAAAGCTTCTTTAGAGAGTAGTTTGTGATTTCTGCTCTTTTTTTTTTTTTTTTTTGTCTTTTTTTATTCCGCTGCCTGTTTCCCCATTGTTCTACTGAAACTGCTCTCACTATGGTTGTCAGTGGTCTGGTTGCTAAAACCAGAGGCAGGTTGTCAGAAAGGTGACTCTCTGTACCATTCATTCACATAATTCATTCAAAGGATGATTGAGTTCTCGCTAGGCGTACTTGGGAGGCAGTGTGTAAACAAGCCTGAGGTGATCTTTGGTGGTCTCACAGAGCTTCTGTTCTAGTGATGGAGACAAGGAATTGATATTTAAAAAAATAAATATAACAATTTTAGATAGTACTAGGAGGTATAGGGATAATAAACCACAGTACTCTACTCTTTTTTTTTTTTTTTTTTTTCCTTTTTGTCTTTTGTTCGTGTTCGGCAACGGATCGCAACCCTCAGTGTCACGCCCGTACCGGACCGGGACCGGCAACGGGATCGCAACCCTCGGTGCTGCACCCGCACCTCGCTCAGCCAGTGAGCGGAACCGGTCTGTATGTGGGATCCGAACCCTCGGCGGGAGCGTCACCACGCTCCCAAGCGGCACACTGTAGCAGTGTGCCACCGGGCCGGCCCCAACACAGTACTCTACTCTTGTAGTGACCCCTAATGTGTGAGGGAAGGGACAGGGGCAGGAGCCATTTTAGATGGGACTGTTAAGGAAGGTCTCTCTGAGGCATATCTGACACTGTTGACTGCTCCCTTCCCCCTTAGTTTTTCCTATTCTCATTTGTTTCTTCTGACTCTCTAACCATTTTTCTTTTGGTCTCTTGACCGTTTCTTCTTGCCCGTTTTTCTTTTTTTAATTATAAAAATTTTCAAATATAAATTCTCAAAAATAGAAAAACACAGTGAACACATATACCCATCACCCAGATTCAACAGTCATTAGGATTTTGCCACATTTGTTTCATCTATTCCTTTTTTCTTTTTTCTGCTTTACTGAAATATTTTTAAAATTCCAGACATGTCATTCCTCACCTACTTAATTCAGCTTGCCTTGCTAAAAATATGGATCTTTTCTTACATAACCGTATCTAACAAAACTAGTAATGATGCTTAGGTGTCATTTAGTACCAGTCCTTAACCAAATTTTTCAGATTTTCTCCAAAACCGCATCTTTACAGTTGGATCCAAATCAAGTCTGCACATTCCAGTTTTGGTTGCATTTCTTAAGCTTGTGTTAATCTAGAACAGTCTACCCTTGTTTCTCCCCTGACATTTACTTGTAGAAACCAAGTGAGTAGTTTTATAGAATTCTACTTTCTGAATGTATCTTGTCAAAAGATGAGGCCACCTCTCAATGTCGGAAACAAAAAGCATAAAGCTGATTTTATTGCATACTATAGTAAGCTAGTGTGATGCTGGTCCAGTAGGTCTCTCCAAGCTGAGTAGACCACTAGTCTTATATAGGGTTTTGGGTAAGGCTGTAGTTCAAGTACTGGCAGATTTTCAGGTCCGTAAGTGGATTGACATCATCTGTAAGACCATGATTACTTGGGTGGGACTGTTGTCGATCAGCACCTAGGTATGTTTATTGGAGTGAGTTCATCCCTGTTTGGCTAATTTTCAGAGACAAAGAGCAGTTACTGATTGGTTGGCTTGCCAAAGTGTTCACTAGGCAAGTTTTCATTGATCAACTGAAAACATTTAAAACCAGTTCTGGTGGTTCTCTTGTTACCATGGTTACATAACAGTCTTTTCCTGGAAGTGTAGAAACTTTTTTATTCTTTTTGTGATATTAACTTGTTCTCCTGTTCTGTTTTTGTTAAACATTTTTGGCAGTGTGGGGGCTCAGGGGCGGTGGGCCCCGAACCTCCCAGTAGCCCCTTTTATCCCCCCCGCCACAGGATGAGCAAGAGAGGGAAACGGTAGGATTACTCCTGCCACCCTAGTGGCCAGGAGAGCCTGGGAGGAAGGTGAGTATGCCGCCCGCCTATTCAGCCCCACAGAGAGACACTCAGACGTGGCAGGGGTTCCGTCAAGCAGTTCCGTTAATTTTCACACAAGCACCTGCTTTTATAAGCATATGGCAAGGGGATTTCCTAACTTCAACCTATCATCTTAAAGGTCATGTGAGCATGCATCTTGCTCTAATGCTTTGCTATTGCAATCACGTGGTGAGCTCGAGCGTGGAAATATCTTCTATCCAATAATTGTAAACTATGTCTTTCCTTGGTTACGCCTCGGCAGCTTCCGTCAAGCGCCATCTTTATCTCTCCTGTCCAGGTGAATGTTTTCAACAGATTCAACCTATCATCTTAAAGGTCATGTGAACATGCATCTTGCTCTAATGCTTTGCTATTGCAATCACGCGGTGAGCACAAAAATATCTTTTATCCAATAATTTTAAACTATGTCTTTCCTTGGCCACTCCCTGGCGGCTTCCATCAGGTGCCATCTTTATCTCTCCTGTCCAGGCGAATGTTTTCAACAGATTACATACACGTATGTGGGTGGGGTCGTGCTAGTTCTCTGTCCCAGGAGGAGGTGTGTGGCCTCAACGCCCCAACAGGCAGGATTATTTCTTAACTCATACTATATACTCGCTATTGCATTACGTCATGAGGCTTATAGTACCTGGTTGCCCCACTTTAAGTGATAGTTTCTCATGATTACAGCTGATCCCTCCATTGTAAAGTTCCCTGTCAGGCTTTTATCTAACAGTTTCATCCATTGGTAATCATTATTTGAAACAATTATTTATAAGAAATTCAAAAATAGCGATTTTCTATTACTATTATTTCGTCCTCCCTCATTAACTGGTATTTTCTGAAATAATGAACTTTTTCTCATCACTTTGGTCTACTTAGTTACTTTGAAATATGGCTCATCTAAGAAAGGCAGAATAAATGCTTAATTCTTTTCTTAATTATTTTCAATTGTCAGAATTTTTATGTTAGTTTTGACTTTCCTTTTTTTTTTTTTTTTACTATAATGAACTCATGGGATTTAATAATTAGTACAATTCAGCCAATTGCATTCATTATTTTTAATGTTAAAATTGTTCTTTTTCTGACCCCCTTTTAAATGCTCTTCTCTCTCAGGGTTCCATCTCTGATGTGCTTTTCTTCCCCTGTGCACTCACTTTCCTGACTGATCTCAGTCTTTCCTACAGCTACTCTCAACATTTTAATTATCCTAAGTCACTGTCACTGTTTTTTTGGTGGTTTTGGGAGCAGCGGGGGCGGCTGGCCCGTACAGGGATCCAAACCTGTGACCTTGATGTTATAAGACTGTGCTCGGGCCGGCCCAGTGGCGCACTGGATAGTGCGCCACTTGGGAAGTGCGGCGGCGCTCCCGCCCGAGGGTTCGGATCTCACATACAGACCAGTTCCCGCTCACTGGCTGAGCGAGGCGCGGGGGCAACACCGAGGGTTGCAATCCCGTTGCCGGTCCCCGGTCCGGTACGGGGGCAACACTGAGGGTTGCGATCCGTTGCTGGACACGGAAAAAGACAAAAGACAAAAAAAAAAAAAAGACTGTGCTCTAACCAACCGAGCTAACCAGCCAGCCCCTAAATCACTCTCTTACATCAATTTACCAGGTGCTAGACCTGTATTTACAATTACTCACCTGCATGGCTCTCCCAAAACGTACAACTTGCATGACTTCATATCTTTAAATTTATCTCTATTTGCTATTCTTTTTCTCTTGTTCTCCCAATTAGAAGCATTTTCCCAAGCCCAAAACCTGGAAGTCATTCTTGATTTACTCCTCTGTCTTACATATCCAGGTACTCCAAATTCTATCTCAGAACTATTTCACTGCTCAGCCCTTTCTCTGCATTGCACTGCTTACAGTGCTCAGGCCATGGTGACCTCTTACCCACACTATTGGGTCACACTCCTAAGAAGAATGCCTACCACCTCTTCCCACTCCAGATCATTCTCTACTACCCTTAGAGTTACCTTCTTGAAGATAAATCTGGTCAAATTAGTCCACTGTTTCAAGACCTCTACCGCATTCCTGTTACCTAACACAGCAGTGTTTCCCAGTTTTGTTCAACAGAACCCTAATTCTACAAGATGTTAATGGTGTTCTTAGAAAAAGAGGTGCTGGAAACAAATGTCTAGAAACTACTGATTTCTTTACTCTGGATTTCTCAACCTTTTATATGCAGTGTATATTCTGTGACTCCAACAGGAGGATATAATGGATAGCCTTCTACAAACTCATTGGATCATGAAATATTTTTTATTGTTGTTGCTAAGTATCTAGAGGGATTAATGTTTTTCAGTAAAATTTTGGGAAAGACTGGCCAAATGAATAAATTCTCAACCTTTAGATTGCATTTAAGGCCTTTCACAATCTCCCATGTTAAATTAGATATCCCCTACTGTTCTCTTAGCACTCTTTCCATATGTCCTTCTGAATTTGTCTCTTAATGTACTTGGGTTATCTATATCTTTTCCACTGACCATGAGTGGCTATCTTATCTCTGTATCCTCAGCACTGAGCAGTATCCTCAGCTACTGGCACTCAGTAGCAACTCACTGAATAATAAATGGATCTATTTCTGAAATAGGAATTTCTGTGCAAACCATTTTCCCCAGCTTTTTATTATTGTCATACTTACAGGGTGATTGGCTTCTTTAATTTGTAGGTTTGGAAAAAGAATAAGATTATATATTAGAGCTGAAATACACTTTCAAGCTCATACAGGCCAGTGGTTTTCAGACTGTGTGCCACAGAGTCTTCGATGTTCCACAAACCCCTTTCTACCAGTTCCCCCTCCCTGCAGGCGCTGCTAAAGAGAATGGGAGGGGGAAGTGACATATGAAGCACATGTTCTCTTAGCAGTTTTAAATGTTGGGTTTCTTAAATTCTCTTTGAAAGGGGATTCCAAGGCTACAGTTTGGGAGCTGTTTGTTAGCTGTTAGTGTCCAATCCTTTTGCTTATGAGGAAGTAGTAAGTCCCAAAGGAATTGACTTTCCCAAGGTCACAAAGTTCTTAGTAACAGAGCCAGAACTAAGACTCAGATGATCTTATTCTCACAGTAGTGCTTTGTGCAAAATTCTGAAAAATTAAAAAGTTTATTAGAAGATTATGGACTAAAATTCTATTATATGTTCATACAAAAACCCGTACATGAATGTTCATACAACTTTATTCATAACAGCCCAAAGCTGGACACAATCAAAATGTCCTTCAACAGGTAAATGGATAAACAAACTGTGACACATCTATACAGGAGCCTAAACGTGATAAAATGGCATAGAACTAAACATACACACACAAATAAGTGCAAGTAAAACTGGGGCCATCTAAATGAGATCACCAGATGGTCTCGATGTCAGTATCCTGGTTGTGATATTGTACTGTAGTTTTTATAAGATGTTACCATTGGGGGAAACTGGGTAAAAAACACAGGGAGTCTGTATTATTATAACTGAGTGTGCATATACGAGTATCTTAAAAAGCTTAATTTAAAAAATTTAAAAATAAAAGTACAGATGTCTCTAAAAATAAAATGTTATTATGTGGATTTATTGTTTAGAGCCAAACTTGGGATGCCACAGTTTTTGAGTCCTGAAGCCCAGAGTCTTTTACGAATGCTTTTCAAACGAAATCCTGCAAACAGATTAGGTAAAAATTTTAATTAATTTGTTTCTTTCGTGTGTTTGTTGGTGTTTGGTTTTTTAGGGGGAGTGGAGATTTATTTTCATGGAGGAATTATTAAATACTCAGACAAGTATTAAAACAAAAGACTGAACAATATATATATATTTCTCCTTGAAATAAAATTACCAATCAATTTTTGATAGGTGCAGGACCAGATGGAGTTGAAGAAATTAAAAGGCATTCATTTTTCTCAACAATAGACTGGAATGTAAGTATAGAATGAAAACTTAGCTTGAAATATTTTTTATAATTAACACATGTCTAAGTTTCTCTTTTTTCCTCCAGAAACTGTATAGAAGAGAAATTCACCCACCTTTTAAACCTGCAACTGGCAGGCCTGAAGATACATTCTATTTTGATCCTGAGTTTACTGCAAAAACTCCCAAAGGTAAGGAGAAAACATGAAAACCCAAATATAAGACAATAGATATATTTTTTTCTTGTTCAATCACAAAATCTTTTCTAGGATAACTCTCTATGCTATCCTCAAATCTCCTAAATTTGCTGTAGGTCAACCTTATATCTCCCCCCTAATTAGGAGCCATACTATTGTTAGGTTATCATTTAGGGCTGCACTGTCCAATATGATAGCCAGTAGCCACATATAGCTAAATAAACTTAAATTAATTGAAATTAACAATTTAGTTTCTCAGTCCTACTAGGCACATTTCAAATGCTCAGTAGCCACATGTGGCTAGTGTCTACCATATTGGACAGCACAGATAAAGAAAATGTCTGTCATTCCAGGAAGTTCTGTGGGACAGTGCTAGTTTCAAATACCATTAACCCAGTAATTCATCAATTTATTATATTCTTCAAATGAAATTAGCTATTTTCTAGGCTCTGAGAGACTGGGGTATTAGAGTTATGATGGCAAGAAGCAGTCAGGACAGACCTGATACAGTGCCTCACTGAGGTATTCTGGACAGCAAGAGGTATATACTGGGTGCCTGAAAAGTAGAATTCTAGAATAAGTGAGAAAGGTCATAATGTCAATAATTCTTCCTTTAATTACCTTTCAAAGGAATCTTCTTAGTAATTTCTTATTATTTTCAGATTCACCTGGCATTCCACCTAGTGCAAATGCACATCAGCTTTTTCGGGGGTTTAGTTTTGTTGCTATTACCTCAGATGATGAAAGCCAAGCTATGCAGACAGTTGGTGTACATTCAATTGTTCAGGTGAGTGGATGTCTAAATACTTTTAAATTTGAAATATTGTAAGATATAGTTCATTATATGAATAATTAGGTTAGATTTTATCTGCTGACTTTAAGTGAGAAGTTTAAAATACATTTTATATCATTAATGTTACTTTTAGAAATTCCTTTCATATGTCATTGAAAAGGTTGCATGAACCAAAATCCTGGATACCTATGTGACTTGAAAGTGGAATTCTAAGACAGTTGAAATAAACATCACCATGTTGTCTCTCCCCTGCCTGTGCTTCAGATGTTTATCAGGGCTAGTTTGTTTCATCCCCTGACTCTACCAGGTCAGCTGTAATGAATGGAGGTCTCCTTGATGCCTTAAAACAGGAGTCAGCAGACTTTCTTTGTAAAGGGTCAGATAATAAATATTTGAGGTTTTGTGGGCTATATGATCTCTGTCATGACTAGTCAACTCTGCTGTTGTAGCACAAAAGTAGCCATAGATGATACGTAAACAAATAGGCATGTCTGTGTGCCAGTAAAACTTTATTTACAAAAACAGACAGTTAATCATATTTGGCCCACAGGCTATAGTTTGCCGACCTCTGCCTTAGAAAGATATAAGAAATAAAAAATAACTCACATCCTAAGTTTTCCAAGTGTTGTGTCCTTGCTCTTTTGGAGCCCCCATTATCAGTAGGAAGAAGTGGTTATGGGTACTACCTTAGGGTGCCAGCTACCTTTTTATCTCTTCTGTTTCTCATAGTTGGAGTAAAAGTAGGTAAAGGCCATAGAAGCAGGTTTCTAGGGGTGCGTGTGTGTGTGTGTTTATAACAGGAGACTGAACTAGTAAATACTGTTGGAGAAACACAAGCAGTAGAAACCATTAGATTTCTTCCTTCCTATCCTAATATTATGGAAAGATAAATTTAATTCATCTTTCTAATCATAGAGGGAACTAGATATATCTTTTGACACATTTACTTGTTTTTAAGGTATCATTAGTGCTTGAATTTGCTTGATGATTAAGTTGCTTTTGCTCTAAGGTTTTTTTCACAAGTCAGTCATCTTGCTTTCTACTTTCTAGAAAACCAATTTAAAAGCTGGTTTTTAAACAAAGTTCATCTGCCATGTGTTATTAGGCCCTAACCCATAAACAGATTCTCACAGAAGTTGTGTAAAGCTTTGACTTAGAGGTAGAAAAGGGGGCGGGGAGCATGGCTGCTGAAAGTCCAAAATGATGATAACAGGTATTACTTGCAAATACATTGTTTTTATTTAATCTTCACCATTATCCTCTGAGAAAACACAGGTTCAGTTACACAGCCTATTAGTGGTACATCTGAGACAAGAATCCAGATGGTCTCATTCTGAATCCTTCTAAATCTTTTCTTCTATCCCAGAGGTCTCAAACTTCTCCTCGTTTGCAAAGGTGCTTCAAAAACCTATAGTTGGTTGGGGAGTAAAATGGGGCTAAATCATAGACAAGGCTATAGACCCCTTGTCAAGTAGCTCTGCTTTTTCTGTTGTACATATTCAATTTTTTCTTTTTAACATAAGCTTTTCTTAAGGTATATGTCTTGCCATACATTTTATTGTAGACACTTCCAAAATATGCACTTGTAGAAGAATAAGTGCTATGAAGATTCATTTTTATTTTTACTGATGTTCATTTATGTTTATGGTTAGCATCAGCAATGCATGCTCAGTAACATATTCCCCTAGTATAAAATGCACTAAAGCCATTATGGAACTCTTTATCAACTTACAATTTTGTTTGTAGCAGTTGCACAGGAACAGTATTCAGTTTACTGATGGATATGAAGTAAAAGAAGATATTGGAGTTGGCTCCTACTCTATTTGCAAAAGATGTATACATAAAGCCACAAACATGGAGTTTGCAGTGAAGGTAAATGTTTTTAGATTTAAAATACAACTCTAACAGTTCTTATTCATGCATGTCAGTACCAGTTAAAAACTACGCTTTTCTCTTTGGTAAAAGTGTTATAAAAAGTTAAGGTAAATTTAAATATCTGACTAGTGATCATCAGAGATCATAATCCAGAACCATGATTCCCCCTGTGTGCTAAAGGTAAGGTGGTCATACTTTTAGTTTGCTCAAGGCAGTACCAGTTTACACCTCATGTGACTCTTTTTTTTTTTTTTTAAATAAAATTAGACCTAAAATGTTTCTGTTATTTCATATTGAGATGTTCCAGCAGTGTGGGGAGATTGGCTCATGGGACTTTTAATAGTACCCCTTTTACTCTCAAGAGTCCTTATTTTATGGTCAGGGTGTCAGCGAATTCCTCAAAATTGTGTGCCAAATTTTGTACGTTTACAGTTTTCTGGCAAAAATGTTTATACCTTTCTTCACATGTAAAAGGATCCATTAACCAATAAAAAGAAAAGAACCACTGTCATAAAATGTATTACTATTAGCTCTTTTAATTTAATCAGATGTCCTAAGACAGAATTTTCTAAGCCAATAACAAGGTACCTAGCTCTGTGATAAAATGGGAATTTCAAAATTTTAGTTATAAGTGAGCAAACACTATATTCAAGTCTCTGCCTTTTCGCTTTTTGGAATAGTAACCTCTGCTCTCCCATCTCAAACAATTTAAGTAATGTCTAAAGCTTTCAACTCATCTTGAACCTTAGAACTAGTTTACAAGTATGGATAACTCATGTTTACTTAGTGAGAGAGTAACATTAATTGTTATTACTATTCTAAACTTGGATGTAATTGCTTGAAAAAGTCATCACGTAAAGTATTCATTTGAAAAGAATACACAAAGTGTCTATAAGGCTTTCTGCTGGATATTAAGATTGAACCATAGAAATAGCATTTAATTTGCTATTCTCATCTTCATTGCTCTTATTGAAATCTAAGATACATAGAAATTTTCAAATTGCTTACATGAAAGGAAAGAAGAAGAATGTATTGGGTAGGCAGTTTAAGGATGTATCTTGCCTTCATAAACACATCAGAAAAAGCAGAAATGTTCTGAGGTCCCCTTTGAATTACAGAAACCTGGAACAGTATGCCCAAAGCCTTGAGAATATCTCCAAGATATTTGTGGATTATTGTGACTTAAATTAGATTCGTAGGAGCAATCCCAGCACAACTAGATTCTACTGAAATTACTACAGATCTGAGGTCCACAAGTACAAGTTACAGATATAACGAAAATTGGGCTCATATTAGCAGATCAGAGAATGTTGCCAAAAATAACACCTCCCAGTGTGTTCTGGTTTTCAAAAGACTACTCCCAGATCATTTCTCTTGAATTAGCATGTCTATAAGTGTACTTCAAAAAGTTCATGGAAAGATTCATATTATTTTTCAATTCTATTTTTCCATAAACTTGTTGAAGCACCCTCATATTCCATATACCTCTCCTCTTAATCACCCATTTGCCTAATTCCACACTATGATTCACAATTGATTACATATATGTTTGTCTTCCCTGTTCTCCAAGTACAGAACTGTTTAAAAACTAAATCTATTTCATATAGAAGATTGAGCTTATAGTGAGATTTGTAAGCTCTTTCCTAGGTTTCTGGAGTATTTGGGTAATTATTGCATACATTAATTACTAAGCTGTTTTAAAATTGAATACACGAAGGCCACAAAATTTGTTTTAGACTACCCTTTGAATGGATTGAAAGCCAAATTTGTCTTTTTTAAATATTACTTTAATAGATTAAAACATTAAGAGAAATATTTTTAAGAATCAGCTGACATAAAAGGGTTAGAAAGCTATACTAGTATTTTAAAGGGCTTATTATGATAGTTAAATTTATTTCTAGCCAAATAAAGTTTTGGGTGTGGTTTTCTGTACAGCTTTCTGCCTAGCTTCAAAAATAAGCTTGTTCTACTTAAATGTTAATTAATTTTTATAAGTACCTGACAACTAATGGGATATTCCATTGAAGCATTTTATTAAAGGAAGTAAAGTTAATTCAATAAACATGTTAGTGGTGTTATAGATACATTAGCTCTTAATTATCTGTATTGATAGGGGTTAGAAGTTGACCGAGTTCCCAAATGTTCAAGACATTAACTGTGTCCTTGGTACCTTTTCTTGAGGCTTTTGTTTTTTTGTTGTTGTTTTTTTTCACACTGGCCAGTATGGGGAACCGAACCCTTGACTTCATGGTACAAGGCCACAGTCTAACCAACTGATCTAACTGGCCAGCCTCTTGAGGCTTTTGAATTTTTAGTAAGTCTTAAACTTACTACAAGCTGACATTGGAAAGGCCTGGTGGGAACGTGACTCACAGGTTAGAATTTCCAGCCTTGCCACCTATGTCAAGACTGGCTTCCTAGTTAAGCAGTCTGGTCAAGTAGATGAATAAAACTGATTGATAAATGGCTTATACATATAGTATTTATATAATGTAATACCTCAGGTCTATAGCTGTAAACATTTAAGGTTTATAACTGTATAGTTATGATTTTGTGATAAGTGTTTACCTTCTAGATTATTGACAAAAGCAAGAGAGACCCAACAGAAGAAATTGAAATTCTTCTTCGTTATGGGCAGCATCCAAACATTATTACTCTAAAGGATGTAAGTAGATTCTTTAATGTGGATCATTTGAATCAGCTATCTAACTCACATTTGGAATATTTTCAAATATCATGTGGTAGACAAAGAACTTGATATACTGACTTTAAAAAAGGAGATTTGAGAGCAGCATTATAACATTATCTCATTTATAAAGAAAAATGTTTATATAGTTAATTTTTCTACTTTTGCTTTAAGAAGAAAATTATTTCTGACATTATTGCTTTTAATCTGCATTTACTTGCATTTACTTGAACATTTACCCAAATGTTCAGTATTATTACTATTTTTTTTCTTTTCTGGTGGCTGGCCAATATAGAGATCTGAACCCTTGACCTTGGTGTTTTAACACTGCACTCTAACCAACTGAGCTAACCAGCCAGCCCTCAATATTAATATTACTATTAATATTCAGTATTGACTAGTCTCACTCTCCACGGACTCCCCAAACTGTCTTCCACATTACTGCCAGAGAGATCTAACACACATATCTGCCCATGTTGCTTACCTGCCTACAGTTCATGCTCCCCAGCCCCTCGAGCCCCTGCCTTCCTCTGTAGTAGTTTTTACCTTTCCTCATACACCCTTGCTCCAGCCATGCTCTGGTGTGTACAGGTTTTTGAGTATGCCTCATTTTCTCATGCTGTTTTGTCTTTGAATTTATCATTCCTCTAGTCGAGAACACCATTTCCCCTCTTCTTTGCCTGGCTGACTACCACACACATCTAAGATTTTGCTAAGGCACTGCTTCCTCCAGGAAGCCTGCCCTACCCATCACCACCCCCAGGACAAGTGAGATATCCTTTCCCTGGGCTGTCATGATACCCTGCTACCTATATTTCTTGTGGCTTCTATTATAACAGAGTATTGATAGAGGGTATGAACTCCCCAGGTAGTATTAAGTCCTCTCTTGCTGATGGTGCTCATGTAGACTCAACAGCCATATGTGAGTGTTGTCAGAACTCCAATTTCCTCATATTATTTTATTACTGCTCATTGTTAGAGAATGTTAACTTAGTCACATTAAAATGTGAAGCTGTTTAACTTAAGTGATTTTAATTAACATAGTCTCTTAAGACTACAACCAAGAAAATTAGAAAGTGTAGAAAACACTTTTTCTCAGCCTTGCCTTGGAAACGCCCTAACTTGTCACTTTTTTTTTTTATTACATCTTAATTCTTTCTTTCACTTCAAATTCCAAAGTCTAAAAATTTCCCCAGACTTTTATTACAGCATCACCAACACTTTTTACTCTTTTTTATGTCTGTTTCTCCCTACTAGAGTAAAAACTTTGAGGGCAGGTACCTTGTTTTCTCCATATTTTGGACCCCGGCACTTGTATGGTACCTAGTACCTCCTATGGAGCTAAATAAAGTTTTCCAGTAGCTCTGTGGTAAGGAGAAAATAAAAAAGACTGGTTTAATAAAGGGATTATCTCAGTTAGAGATTGCCCAGGGTACAAATCCAAAATTCCAGTGATCTTTCTATTTCTGCATTGGGAATTCACTTTTATGCTTCTGTGTGGTTCTATGGAATTTCTCTTTGCTACTTAATCTCCCTACATAATTCTTGGCTTCAACTTGTCTTTCAGTTTAATCAGAACCAGAATAATTCATTTGTTCTGTGTATATAAATACAGAAGGTCTGCTATTGCAGAATTTCCAGGAAAATCACAGGAGTGTGTCTTTGTACCAGTTTCTGCCATCGTCAGTAGATAGAAAAGAGATCAAGAAGAGCAAAAGTTCAACGTCCTTTTGTATATGATGCCCATAGTTACTTTGATTGCCATGAACGAAGTTTCACAGAAGGAAGTTACAGGATGCTTTTCTGACATTGTCCCATCAATTCCTGTTTTAATATTCTTTTTTTTAATTGAAACATATTGATTGTACGTGTTTATGGGGTACAGAGTTACATTTCAGTAATGTGTACAATGTGTGATGATCAAATCAGAGTAATTAGCCTATTCATCACTGTAAAACTTTATCATTTCTTTGTGATGTGAACATTTGATGTCCTCTTTTCTAGACATTTGATAACATGCAGTACTTATTTTAACATTAAGTGTATAAAATTGTTTGCAAATTTCGTATCTCCATTGGTTCTGACAAGTAAAATTTTTCTTGAACATAAAATGAGTTTTAATTTCTCTTTAATATGCTAAACTTTGGGGCACACGTAAAGCTTCAAATAATTTTTTATATTTTGATGTTGAATTTTATAGGTATATGATGATGGAAAATATGTGTATGTGGTAACAGAACTTATGAAAGGGGGTGAATTGCTGGATAAAATTCTTAGACAGAAATTTTTTTCTGAACGAGAGGCCAGTGCTGTCCTGTTTACTATAACCAAAACTGTTGAGTATCTTCATGCACAAGGGGTAAGTCTTTTTAACATTATATATATACATGTGCGTGAATACACACACACATCTTTTTTCTTACTTTTTCTTTCTTAATGTCTGAGCCAAAATTATAAAGATAGAAGTTTCTTTATGCATGTAATGGAAAGTAACTACTATTAGCTTAATTATCCTACTGGTTTTCCTCTAGACAAACTTCTCCCACTGAGCTTAAAGTGCTATTTTGAAATCTTAGCTTGTTTATATTAAATTGTTATACTTTCCAAAACAAATGAGTGAGATTTCCTGACCTGGAAAACATAGCCTCATTTCTGCTAGGCCACTCTATACCCTTGAAAACAGGCCCACTTCAAGTTAGAAGCAGAACCAGGGAGAATCCTGGTTTCTATTTACATGTAAAAGGAAATTCTAAAAATGAATGAGGCCAAGTAGTCACCTGGCTTCTGGGTGGTGGGTGCTCTCCTCATTTCTTCCTGCATACAGATTTTTAGTAAACAGCAAAAAATATATATCTTTTAGAAGAAAGGAAGTCTGGGAGGGAAAAGGGGAAAGGAGAAAATGGGGGGCAGGAAGGAGGAAAGTAGAACAGCAGAGGAATGAAGAAGGATGGAAAGCAAGAAAAAAAATAAAAGATTACTTTTTTTTCTTTTTAAAATTTTTTAAATTGACAAATAAAAATTATATATATATATGAGGGTACTTCAAAAAGTTTGTGGAAAAAATAGAATTGATAATACAAATCTTTCCATGAACTTTTTGAAGTACCCTTGTATTTTTGGTATACAACATGATGTTTTGATAAATGTATACAAAGGGGATTAAGGAGTTCATTTTCAATGCATTCTTTTCTCTTTTCGTTTGCCTTTGCCTCTAAAAGCTAACAAGTGGAATGTGTTAATTCTAGAGCTTCCTGACTTCTAGCTTGTCAAGTTTGCCTAGTACTGTACCTTGAAATCAGTAGAACTCAATATTCACTGAAGAATTTATGACCTTGAAGTCGTCTAAATCTTCCGTGTTCTTTTCCCAATGCTTCAGCAGTAATTAATTATTAAAATTGTTAGAGAAGTAACGTTCTGGACGTTAGGAACTAAAACTAAGATGATTGACTAGAATATAGACTCAATTTGGTGATGGAAGAAACACTTAAGTTTAAAAAAGAGTGTCAGAGAAGCTTATGATAAAAGAAGTATTCAAGTAGGTCATTAAAGGAGGAAAATAATACAAAGCTCTAAAGAAAATGTATCTTTTTGCGTGTGACATCTTCACTTGTAAGTCAGATAGGCAATACTTAAAACCAAGTCTGTTTTGTTTTTTTTTTTAATTCATTTTTACACCTGAATGCCATGCCTGTTCCATTTAGTCTCCCAGCTCTTATTTGTTGTGTACATACCTGTACACGCTGTTCCCTCTACTTAGAATGACCTTCCCCCATTGTTCTTATGGCTTGTTCATTCTGTTCTTCAGGTCTTGGATCAGATGTTGCCTCCTCTAGAGACCCTCCCTGACCACGCTATTTAAAGTGACGTTCCCAGTTATGCCCCATCTTTCAATCTGTCTATTCTTTGCCTTCCTTACTACTGTAAGCTTCTATCATGGAAAGGCCAGGATCTTATGGGTCTCGTTCACCACAATATTTGCAAGTCCTTATATAATACCCTGCCACATGATAGGCACTCAATAAATATTTTTAAATGAGCGAATAACCTGGAGATAAATATTATTGGTATTTGCATTTCTCCTTAACCTGATTACCCAATTGGACAGAGAGGGGGGAGGAGGTAAGTAATATTCTTTCTTCTTCCTTCTGCTTGCCCCAGGTCTATGTTACAGATTTATACGTATATTGTCAGCTTTTCTATTGTTGGGATAATTTAAACGTCAGCACTCATCATCTTGTTAAGTGCATTACTTGATGGTTTGTGAATAAAGAACTTTTCATAACGGAAATGTAATGTTAATGTAATTCTTTAATTTGTATTTCAATTAGGTGGTTCACAGAGACTTGAAACCTAGCAACATTCTTTATGTGGATGAATCTGGTAATCCGGAATCTATTCGGATTTGCGATTTTGGCTTTGCGAAACAGCTGAGAGCAGAAAATGGTCTTCTCATGACTCCTTGTTATACTGCAAATTTTGTTGCCCCAGAGGTAATTGTGAGAGAGTTTGCTTACAGTACTTCAAAACATTTAAAAACTTGTTTGTTGTGTTTAATATAGAATAGTTAATAATTGTTTAATTGAAGAGTTATGAAAAAATAATCAGGATAAAATGCTAGTCCTTTATTTCCCTGTTTAATGCTTCAATGACATCTGATTGCCTACAATAGAAACATCTAAATTCCATAGCGAGATATTATAAAATCCTTTCAATCTCTGTAGTATCCTTTACTTGAAGTTCTGGCCACACTGAACTCCTTGCTTATGACTAAACCTGCTCTGCTCTCTTGCCTCTGCCCTTTGAATGTTTTCTGCCCTCCCCACCTCCTCCCTCTGTCTACTAAATTCTTACTTATAGGTCCAGTACAAATGGCCTGCCACCTAGCCTTCCCTCTCTCCCCACATCAAGAATAAATTGCTTCCTCGTCTTTATACCCTTAGCACTTCAGACACGATTTTGTTATCATACTTATCATGTTGAGTTGTTAACTATTTATATGTGTTTCCCTTGCCAGATTCCGATTTTTTAAATCACAGGTTTGTTTGTATTTGTCATAGCACATGCACATGGTAATAGTTGGTGATTATTAAATGCTTGAGTGAATCAAATTCTATGCTTATATATGTACTATTTTATACTTTATCATTTGTACTAGGTTATGTGTGTTCTTAAAAGTATTGTTTTTTGTAACCATTTCTATAGCCCCACACAAAATATAAATTTGTTAAAATAAGAAACTTGTCTTCAGTTTGTTTTATATTTCTCCATGTGCCTACAGTGACACTCAAGAAATGTTCTTTCAAATACCAGTTAAATTTATATATGTGTGTGTGAATTATTAGTAGTAGAGTACTCTAGAATAGGATTAATATATTTGCTAATCATGCTCTGTTGAAGTTTTTCTTATATGCATTGATTTGGGGGCTATAATTCATTTCGCAGTTTATCCAAATATATATATAAAATAGTGGTATGGCAATACTAATTTTTTACTTTTTCTAGGTTTTGAAACGACAAGGCTATGATGCTGCTTGTGATATATGGAGTCTTGGTGTCCTCCTCTATACAATGCTTACTGGGTGAGTATGTACCATATGTTGTAAGCATTCATTAATATTTTGCTTAAATTATCTAGGTTTCTTTTTTTAATTCCTGTGTTATAATATCTTTCTTTCCAAGTTTTCTCATGCTATCTAATATATACAGTCCTGTGATAATACCACATTTATAGCTATATCAGTAGTGATTTTCTATAATGTACTATTTATTAATGTCTTGAGGTCTTAAATTGACTTCCCATCCCTTTTTTGTACTATTGTTATGCCATAAATGTATACTATTTTAAAATATTTTATTCTATAGTGTGTCATATCTTAAAATATTTATATTATTGTGTATCAAGTCTAATTAGTATTTTATAACCTGTACCTTGACCTGGTGCCGTAAGTGGCTTCATTTTATTGATTTTTTTACATTTTGGTAGATTTCAGTAAAGTATTCCATTAACCAAATTACTCAGAGTACTTTTGGACATTGTAAATAAAAGTGAATAAAAAGATTACCAGCCAAAAAAGGAATTTTATTAACATTTTAATTTTATTGTAAATTAGTTATACTCCATTTGCAAATGGTCCTGATGATACGCCAGAGGAAATATTGGCACGAATAGGGAGCGGAAAATTCTCACTCAGTGGTGGTTACTGGAATTCTGTTTCAGACACGGCAAAGGTAAGTATGGATTTCTATTACAAGCTTTTGAGAAAATAATTTTTCATAATCCATGGTGAGAAAAAATATTATCAGAAACTTTTTTTTATAAAGTAGTATGTTTAAGTGTTACCAAATAACTTGAACTAATAAATGGACCAATTATTTGTTTCTTTCCCAGAAGACATTGGTTTGGCCTTATTATCTATACCTCTAAAGCTATTTCTTACTGACGAACATGATAAATAGTAATGGTGGTAGTCTTTGTGATTTGTCTTTTTGCTGTGTGCCTCACACTGCACTTTACCTAAATTATTTCCTGTCATGTAATTCTTATAACAACCCTGTAAAATAGGTGGTAATGTCCTCATTTCACAGAAGGAAACCAAGGCCCAGAATTTTAGTGTGAATTTGTTCATGGTTACATACTAGGTATGTGTGGGCGCTTCAAACTAAATATCTGATTCCAGAGCCCTCATTCCCTAGAATAATTACACCATATTATATTTTTTATTTATATTATGAAGAAAGGGGTCTCATCTTTTTCACAATAAGTAATAGCATAGTTGTACAGCATCTGCTTGAAATCAATTTGAAAAGCCCTTTTTAGTGGATGATCTGCCATCCCCTGAATAACACTGAGTTGCTTTCCAACTCTGCTCTAATTTCACTTTATTTATAGAAAATTCTTTTTTTTAAAAAGAAGAGTAAAGTTTTTCACTTCAAAATAAGAAAAACATAGAGGAGATAAAGAAGTATATATTGGTAAAAGTGCTTACTGATTTTTATTAGGGGTAGAAGGTTAAGTTGAGGTAACTGTATAAGTAAATGGAGCACATCAAAAATTTATACAGACTGTTTTGGCATCATGAAGCCTCAGTTAACTAGTTTAATGTCTGTGTAGATAATACTTGGTTTTATAACTGCATTTAAAATAAAATGTTAGCCATTACCTTTTTCTAACAGTAAAATTTCTTAAACCAGGTAATTCATTTTTCTGGGTGTTTCCTTTGTAATTTCGTTATTGAGCCCCTACAGCCCTACAATGTGCTTAATAAATAAAGGCCCTAGAGATAATACATGTAACAAAGATAGAGTTTCTGATCTCAGTCTAGTCTCACAGTCTAGTTCACAGACAGCCAGACATGCGTGGTACAGTGTTACATGTGCTGTAACAGTGGTAGTTTTTATGCTAAAGAAGTTCGTAGATGACTCTCGGTCAGAAGGATTTCAGGCAAAGCTTTCCAGAAGCAGTGAAGGAGATTGCCAGGCAGATTTGAGAAGCAGAAGGATGTAGTCCATCCCAAGTTGAGGGAGCAGCATGTGCATATAGTTGTTGATGATAGCACGGGAATGGCAGAATGCCTCCAGGTAGGTCATTGAATGTGACTAGTGCTGATGTACACAGACCAGCAAAGGCTTTGTGGCTTGTGCTCAAGATTGTGGGCTCACTCTGGGTATTGTGGAACTGTTAAAAAATATGACGCAGTACAGTGATGAGATTTTCCTTTTTAAAGTGCACTCCCTGGAGCAGTAATTCTCGTCCTTGGAGTCTACCACAAATTTTGTCATGATCAGTTGTAAGGTTATGTTACCAGTAACAAACTATCAGAACTTACACATTATTTGCCTTTTTAATAAGTCAAAGCGAGTTGAGGTTATCTCTATAATTTTCTTCTCATTCACTTGCATTCCAGTATGGTTTTTTGGTGAGAGAAAGAGACGGGTGAGGATGGAAACACACATAGAGCACCAAAAATTGCATCTAACTCACAGCCTGTCTTACCGATTCCACATTATTAATAGTAAACTTTGCTATTATGTCCAGTTAAGACTTGTGATTACAAGCATGGTGTAATACCATGATTACCCACAAAATGGAAGGGAGGGGTCTATCAATCTGTGTGTGTCCTCTCAAGAGCAAGTTGCACATGTGAATGTTGTCAGTCATTTGAGCCATATGTGTCTTACGTGGCTTTGAGAAGAACAGAACCATAGCTGCAATTTACTAAGCATTTATGTGCCAAGTACTGTGCTAACACTTTTACCTGCATTGTTTCATTCAGTCCTCAGTGACCTAATATTAGGGACATTACTTGTAAAGTTTTGCAATATTTCAGGTCATGAATGATGAGGACCTAAACTAGAGCAGTTGTAATGGAATTTGAGCCAACTGGAAGAGAAATTTAGGAGGCAGAATAGACTTGGTGGTTTATTGGACATAAGAAATGAAGGAGAAGGCATTTATCAAGCATGCAGTCCACATGGGGGGTGGAGATGGTCTTCACCGAGATGTGGAATACAAAAGAAGTAGTTTCGAAAGGAACAGTGGTTGCAAATTTGGACATTATGAATTTGAGATGCTTATGTGATATAATTAAGAGATGTATGTACATTAGGTAATGGGTTATATGGATATAGATCTTAGGAAAGAAGTCTGGGGTAGAGCTTGAAGTTAGGAGTTGTCATTATCTATAGTAGCTAAAGCCAGGAGTATGAATGAGATTATCTGAGTAGAGTGGTAAGAGATCCAAGAAGGGAATTCAAAGGAGCACCACCATTTAAAGAGAAAGCTTAGGAGTAGCTGTTCAAGGAGTAACAGTAGGAGAAGAAGTAGTTCAAAGTGATTTGATTAAAACTATAATAGAGTTCTGTTGTGCCCCTGGGCAGTTTTACAACCTTTTATGCATTTTAAGCACTTTAATCCCTTGCAGAATTTGAAATGGGAGGTCCCTAATTTTTTCACTTTTTATTTCTTTTTTTTTTTTTTTTTTTTTCCTTTTTGTCTTTTTTCGTGTCCGGCAACGGATCGCAACCCTCAGTGTCGCGCCCGTACCGGACCGAGACCGGCAACGGGATCGCAACCCTCGGTGCTGCGCCCACACCTCGCTCAGCCAGTGAGCGGGAACCGGTCTGTATGTGGGATCCGAACCCTCGGCGGGAGCGCCACTGCAGCGGCGCACTGTAGCAGTGCGCCACCGGGCCGCCCCGGTAAGGGGATCTTAACCCTTGACTTGGTGTTGTCAGCACCACACTCAGCCAGTGAGCGAACCGGCCATCCCTATGTGGGATCTGAACCTGGGGCCTTGGTGTTATTAGCACTGCACTCTACCGAGTGAGCCACGGGCCGGCCCTTCACTTTTTATTTCTAATTCTGTTCAGTAGCTTAGTCCTATTTTTAGCTGTTAATGATAACTAAAAGTAAGAAACTGTAAATGTCTGTTGGCAGAGGAGTGCTTGGAGCAACATCTCCCCAGTTTCCAATATGTAGTCAACCACCAGGTCTGTCAGTTCTTTCTCCCAAATCCCTCAATTCCATCCATTTTTCTCTCTCTTTTATATTCCTCCCTGAAGCTGTCATCTTTCACCAGTCTCCAAATTGGAGTCTCAAGGCTTGGCCCCTCCAATCCACTTTCCTCCACACACAGTGAATGTGACCTCTTTGAGGTACAAACTTGACCACATCACTCCCTTGTTTTAAATGCTTGATTGCCTCCAGAATAAGTCCACATTTGCTAATATGGCTTGCAGTGGCTTTCCTGGTCTAGTCCCTTCTCACCTCTCTCACTTTATCTGCTGCCACATTCTCCTTGACAATAAATTTATGCTGCACCACATTGTATTCCTGCCAGTTCCTTAATTGTGACATGTTCTCTTGCACCTTAGAGCTTTCCTCCAAATGCACTCTATTCTATCTACCTGAAACGCTCTGTTTCCCCCTTCCCTTCTCTAATCCAACTCCTGCTTATCCTTCAGGTCTCACCTTCCTCTTAAGTAGTCACTTCTAAGCCACCCCACTCACTTTAGGTCAGGTGTCTCTATATCATCCTCTAGCTATACTTTATATTTGTTCATCCCATCAGAGAACTTCTTATTTGCTTTGTAATTGATTCTCTCTCTCTCTCTCTCTCTCTCTCTCTCTCTCTCTCTCTCTCTCTACTGAAGGTTTCATGAAGCCAAAGTTCATTTCTGTCTTATTCACTAACTACTCAGTGCTTAGCAGAATGCCTGCCCTTTAATGGATAGTCAATAGATATATTTGAATGAAAAATTAAACAAGCGGTAGATGGGAGGAGACCGTGTTCACCAAGTCTTCCTATCAGAAATTCACTGACCAGGGCCGGCCCGTGGCTCACTTGGGAGAGTGCGGTGCTGATAACACCAAGGCCACAGTTTCAGATCCCTATATAGGGATGGCCGGTTAGCTCACTTCAGAGAGCATGGTGCTGACAACACCAGGTCAAGGGTTAAGATCCCCATACCGGTCATCTTTTAAAAAAAAAAAAGAAAGAAAGAAAGAAATTCACTGACCATCTTGTACAGACCCCCACTCCAGAGTCTCCATGCAGAGGACCCAGGCTCCAGCCATGGCTACAGCATAGGGTTTTTATACAAGGAAAAATAAAGTTAATTAATTAAGCCTATTTAAAAAAGATGGCTTTTATAAATGATAATTACATTATCATTTTGAAGAATGTAAAACCATTATATGGATCTATATTCCATGCATAGGAAAGCGTTTGGATTGATAGGCAGTGTTAAAAGTAATTGTTTCTATAAGAGTGGGATTATGGGTGTTCTTCATGTTCTTTTGCTTCTATTTTCTGATTTTTCTGTAATGTCGGTGAGTTGCTTTTGAAGTAGAAAAATAAAGTGAAAAGAACTCTGCAATTGTGTGTGTGGGGGGGTGCATTTAGAGCCCTCCAATTAAATTCCTATTATTGGACATTTATGTTCTGCTTTTCAGTATTACCAGCAGCACAAAAAGAGTCGTAAGTAGCTGAAAATTACTTAGAAATGAACCTACAAAGGGCCGAGCCTGTGGCGCACTCGGGAGGGTGCAGCACTGGGAGCACGGCAGCACTCCCGCCACAGGTTCGGATCCTATATAGGGATGACCGGTGCGCTCACAGCACTCACTGGCTGAGCGCAGTGCAGCCGGTCTCAAAAAGGACAAAAAAAAAAAAAAAATGAACCTACAAAAATGTAGGAAACTTAGAAAATCTGAGGGAAAAAGGAGCCAGAGTGCTTAAAGATACATAGAATGTGGTAAATTGACCCTTTACAATGCACTGAAATTACTTTTATTCAGGGGGAGAAAACAGAGACTAGGGTTTTGGTTTTTTTCCCAAATTATTAACCAAATTGCCTTGAGCCCAAAGGGCTGCTACCAGGAAAAAATAGTGTCATAGAAGCTGAGGAAGAATGCTCAACAGTATCAAGTGCCATAGAAAAAGAAGCAAAAAGAAGCACCAAAAAAAAAAAAAAAAGGTTTTTGCTTGTTTTATTCTTCCCATTACAGGACCTTGTGTCAAAGATGCTTCATGTAGACCCGCATCAGAGACTGACCGCTGCTCTTGTGCTCAGACATCCTTGGATCGTCCACTGGGACCAACTGCCCCAATACCAACTAAACAGACAGGATGCGCCACATCTAGTAAAGGTGAGTGGCCCATTCAGTCACTGTTTTCTGCTGTCCTCCAGGAGAGACAGGGCCAGCTGAGACTCTGAGAAGTCTTCACTGTGCCCCTAGCACCTTTCCCTTTCAGCCTGTGTCCAGTTCTGGTGTGGTGTTCTTTTACAGTGGGTGACTTAGAAAAGAAAAAGTCAACATGTTCTCACTTATAACTGGGTGCTAAGAAAAAAGGAAAGAAAGAAAAAAAAGACCACAACAATTCATTGAACTTGCAGAAGGAGAGAACAAAACCTAAGGTTACAAGGGAGGGAGGGTGTTTGAGGAGGGGCAGGTTGGGTAAAGGTCATAAAGAAAAATCATGATTTGTAATAATGAATATGCTAATAATGATTTAAAAAGAAAATAAAAAATAAATACTAGAGCCATTAAAAAAAAAAGCTATCCAATATTATCTTATATGTACTCACTGTGTTTTAAATTAATAATCACTGGGCCGGCCCGGTGGCGCACTGCTGCAGTGCACCGCTTGGGAGCGCGGTGGCGCTCCCGCCGAGGGTTCGGAT